ATATATATATATATATATATATATATGAGCCACTTGCCGGTAACGAACGGGCTCTGCATGCAAACGCGTGCAGGTATTTGGGCCAAAGCGTGCATGTGGAATATGGGACTGAGGACATTCACTCGTCAACTCGACAGCCAAAGGAGGGAGGCAACACGCGCGCGGACAGTCATTGGTGGGGATCCTAGGTATGCGTCGGTGTCATCAGGTGTTGACATTTTCACAGTGAGCACGCATGCAACTCTTGTGCCTCCTAAAAGATTATTTCAAATGGAATGAACACAAAAACGGCGCAGAATTCATCCACGCCAATGCGGGTGTGTAGACAGGAGCGCGTGGGCAGGCATTGGTTGGGATCCTAGGTATCCTTCGGTGTCATCAGATGTTGACATTTTCACAATGAGCACGCAAGCAACCCTTGTGCTTCCTAAAATTGGGAGAGAGAAGACCTCAAGATACAAACAAAGGGCAACTCACGCAGGAAGACGGAAATGCGACTAGAGGACGGGGATGTGAGAAAAAGGGAAGACAAAGTTACCCGCCTCCGCTATCGTGGGTCCCGGTGTCCGTCTCTCTGCAAAAATAGGCCCCCGCCTCTTCAACTCTTCTACTATTGATTCAGCAACAGCAACCCCATCACCGCCCCCAGAAATGCCAGCAACAGCAAGAAAGGACTGAAGCGTTGCAAACGAAGGAAAGAAAACGACGACACCACCAGAAACAGAGCCAGAGACGCAAAGCAGCAGGCGCAGCAAGGACACGAATTGCGTCGGGAAGTGCATGCGCTGAGAAAACTCGAAACAGAAGTCGGAACAAGTAGAAGACACTGCGCAGCAAACACAAACCAAAAACCAACACCTGCTGCTACTGCTTTTGCTGTTGCCTTCGCAGCTGCTTCCACTGCTCAGATCTAGTTACTGTCAGCGCTGACGTCCCTTCCACCCTATGCTGCAGAAGAGCACTAACTCCAGCAGCCGTTCAAAGCACTCACGCCTACGAATGGGAAGGGCCAAGACTCTGTCTCTTGCTGCACCACAGTCCGCCGAGAGGAATAGATAACTAGTGGGAGGCAGGCAGCGCACAAAACGGGAAAGCGACTCAAAGGGAGATAGCGTCCCCCCCATCAACACCACCAGCCGACTCGCCTTTACTGAGGACATACAAGGCAGAAGCTAAAACTCGTAAACCCTACACCTTCACTTCCACGCCCCAAATCCAAGCCTTGTGCATGAAAATGTGTCAACTTACGAATGGGCTCAAAAGCCTTCTCTGCACAGTCCAAGTCACACCGCACAGAACAAACCAACCAAACACACGGTGCATTGGAGGAAGGAAACCTATTAACGCATGTGGTGCGCTGGCTTTGACTGGGTGTAGGTTTCGGCGAAATGGAATAAGAAATGTGGAAGGAGTTGTTTACCAGTCGCTAGGCATACAACCTCAAGTCTACAGCAGCAACACGTGCTGAGAGCGATGTGCTTTGTTTCCATTTCATCTGCTGCCTTTCGATCACCATTACCAGCAGGTCCCACTGCTGGTAACGCTGCTGTTGGATGTTCGTGCACGTTCGTTATAGAGAGCCTGTCAGCGGCGTCCATCCCGAGAAGTGCGCAGAGAAAGCTTTTAACCGCATACAGGCAAGACGGCTCCAGAATGTAGTTTTCCGTATAATGCTGCTGGTCTATTTGCTTCTGCATATGCAGCGTTTTCGTCTGTTGCTGCTTTTGCTGCGGCTGCTGCAATCTATCGTTATAGTTCATTGCAAATCCTCTCACTTTCTGACAGATGCGTCGACTGGGGTCTGAAAGAAAAGCAATCAACTCGTGAAGGTCAAAATTTTCCAGCTTGAAAAGGCGCAGCAACGCTGTCGCCGTTAGGACAGTCTCCTCATCCCTAGCTGATACATCCGCAGAATTGGCAGCTATTGCCGCTGTCGTTGTATCTGCTGTTCCTGCTGCTGGCGAATGCGCCGGTGCCCCAATTGGGCTAACAAAGAGATCTTCCACTGCATGGTGATGCTGCTCCTGTTGTTGCCGTGTCGACTGCTGCTGTTGGCTGCAGCAGCAGAACGGCTGAAGTCGTTTGTAAATGGTCTCAACCAATCTCGAGAGCTGCTGTAGCAAGTGGAGAGATCGTGATGTAAGTCTATCCTTAAAGTGTTCAACATACAGCGAAAGCACCCGAGCTGCAGATGCTGCTGTTTGGTGGGAAAGGGCGGCAGATTTGCTGCTGCTAAGAGCAGCAGACAGGTGGTGAGCCTCGTCAACACAGAAAATTGAACCCGCCAATGAAACAGCCGTGCTCTCTGCTGTGTTTATATCAGCAGAAAATGCCAGAGAGAATGGCAGCAGCACGACGTCTGCTTCCGTTACTGCTGTTCGGCAGCCGTAATAAGGGCACCCGCCAACAGATTTTCCTACACGCCTCAAGTCTTCTATGTCGAGCGGGGCAGCTACTGCAGCGTCCGCAACCAAATGTTTCCTTTTGTAGTAACTGCACATGCCTTTTGAAACCAGATAAGAGCATTTGTCCGCCATATCACTGCTGCCGTTGCTGCTGCTGCTGCCGCTGCCATCGCATACATCTGGGTGTAGGCACAGTTGTTGCCTACCGGCTGCAACAACTGCAACAAAGTCTTTTATTTCCTTTCGCCTTCCCCGCTTGTGCATCAGCCGAATTTCACCAACATATTGCTGGAGCTGCTGGTGCGTCCTGCTGCATATTACTATTTGGGGGTTGCGGAGACTGCAAGGGGAGCCTTGCTGGGAAGAAAGAGTCCAAGCTTCGTGGCGGGGGCCGGTCCCTTCTAAGTCCAGAGAAGCCCCACGCTCCTCAGGTGCAAACGCGTCATACTCTGCGTGCTCCTGCTGCTTCAGCAAGCTGTTTGTGGCTGCGTGGCGCTTAGAGCCCACCGGCAATTTGCAATCCCGACCTTGCTGCTGCTCCAGCTGATGAACAGGGTCAGCTGCAGCTGCAGCTGCAGCTGTTATTGCTACATGAGCACGAGCCGCAGCTTCTTTCAACCGTTTCCTTCTCTCCCTAAGGAAATGCTGCACTTGTTGCCGATGCTGTTGCAGCAATGCCGTCTTGACCCATGCTGGCTTCTTCCTGGTTGGCTCCGAGTCTTGCTGCTGCTTTTGTTGGACCTGCGCCTGATGCTGCTTCTGCTGCAACTGCTGCAGGAGGAGCTGCTCCGCTTGCTGCTTCAGCCACACCACAGAGGGGCAGAGAAACGACAAAGTTTTGCCTCCCCCAGTAGGCAACTCAAGTGCAGCAAACTTTGTCTTCTGGCTGCTGCCTTGGAGGGCCCTCCACACCGCAGCCATGAAAAGCAGCTGGGAAGGATAAGGGATGTACGGAAAACCAAAGGTGCCATCTTCCGTTGCTGCTTCGTCTGCAGGTGCTGCCGAGCCCGTGGACGACAGGGCTGCTGCTGTTGGATGTTGGCCCGTGTCTTTCATACTCGTTCGAATTTTCTAGTTCTCCTAACGCTCAGGACGAGATGGGGATAGTGTCGTCTCTAGGCAGCCAACAGAAAGAGCACTCCGCCCCCCTCAGATTACCGATGCCAACGACCTCTCCCTAATTGGAAGGAAAGGCATGGCTCTGTTGATCTCCTCCACGCGCTCTAAACTCCATATGAGCAACTTCTATGCATTGAACCCACCTAAAGGGAGACAACATACTGCAGTTCGGGCCGAAGAGCCATGCTCGTTTTCTGAGGGGCCCCTCGACGGCTCCGCAGTGAGTCAGCAAAGACAGACAGGCGGTTTAGTAAATGACGAGTTTGAATATTTATTTTGTCAGAATTTTCATCTTTAAAGCTTAAAACGGTCGGAAAGTATGCTTCCACACGACGGCGCGCTAAGTTCTACAGAGCAGCAGCCCGACGTGAGGTGAGTAAGCAAGATTGGCACGTCAACTGCTACGTGATATGGCAGAATAGAGTGTTTTACTGGCTCTCATAGATATGATGCCTATTGTGTTCCACTCCATATACATTCCATCTCTTTCGCGTGGGCCCTCGTTCGAAGGGTGTGTCGCTTTCGACGTTGTGGTCCTTGCCTCAGACTGCTCTTTATCCTTCGAAGTGAGAGCAGTCGTTTGCAAGCACTTAGCAATATGTAATGTACTAAAAGCACAAAAGAAACTTTTTAACGCACACACTATCTGTTGTTGGATTCCTCGGCATCTTTGCGCAGTCGAAGTGAAGTGAACAGTTGTCACCCACGGCCGTTGTTAAGTGGTACCCTACACACAGCTACTTAGGTGCATACGCTATATCTATTCATTGATTAAACCAAATAACGGGAAGAACCCATTAAAAACGCATTCGTCTCTCATCATCTTAAAAAGGAAGACCAAGGATAATAGAACTCCCCCCGTGACTCCATAGCAGGTCGGCGCCTGCGCGGCTGCCAACCTCACAGCCAGCCCCGGACTCTTGCCGGCCAGCCTTCGCCTCAAGCTTCTTCTTCTATCCAATGCTACTTTATTCATTTCTATTGAGACTTTACACTTTTACTCTTTCTGCTCGATAGGCTGCTGGAGAACCCATTTGAGCTCCATTTGAGTGCCCGTGCAAAGAGCCTTCGGTCTTTTGTTGTTACGCACCCGTAGTACGCAAGCTCATCTCTCTCCTCCGCAGACAGATGTCTGGAGTGGAGTGCTCAGGAGGCCTGTAGGGAGTAGGGAGAGTACTTCCAACTTTATCCGGCTCACTTGCTGGTGCTTCACAGCCACCTCCACCTCCACATCTATGTAATGGCCGTGAGCCGCCCTTACACGCATGAGTGATGTATCTGGATGAGAACCTGCATGCATCCAACGTCTAAACTGAGCTGCTTTTTGGCACAGGTTGTCTTGTGTCAGGAGAACTTTTCGCCAGTAACCCCACATCCGAGAGGGTAACACCTGATCCTTACTTCAAGTAACTCCTGTGTTCTATTGAATCTATGAGGAAATTGAATATATATTGGAGACCATTTCGGGATCAATCTCAACCATCCAGAAATGGAGTGTCGCAGTGGAGCGCGGTTAAGCCTCAACAGGCTCTGCAGATGTACAATATCCTTCCGCGTTGAAGTAGAACGCCCTTGCAAAGGCAACCATTCCACTGATAGCAACTCCTCTGGTCTTGAATATGGCCGAAAGCACACCAGATGGGAGTCGAACCCACAACCCCAGCCTTGGGCGGGCTGCGCGTTACCTATTGCGCCACTGGTGCGTCGATCAGCCTTCCAGGAGCCACTCATCCAGACAGTCCCGCAAAAGTTGAGCTTGTCCTGTAGTCTCTTAAAGCCAAGTTCTGAAGCACTCTAGATTTCGCCGTTTGCAAATGCATACACACTCAAACTGAGGTTGCTTTGGCGCTGCGCCAACTAACGGGGACCTGCAGCTTGTGCCTCCAAGTATGCATGTTGCAAGCAACATTGCTGAGGTGAGAATACAGAGTAGCACATTATAGTAAGCAAAGATAAGAGCGATCCATGCGTATAAGCACAACACACTCAAACTGGGTACGGAGCAAACGGAATATGCATGCTGCACAAACGACGTGCGCATTATCCGTGGAGTGAATCCTCTGGAACGAAAATAAACAAGAATTTTCAACGGCTACAGGCAGCCAGACCCAGTACTATGCGCTAGCACTAACTAGGCTTAACACTTCCACAGCAAGTCAATACTCCAGCTGCACAGATGCATCCACTCCCGCTCTGCAGTGGCGGCAGCAGTAGTTAGTTTGAAAACGTTTGTTTTGCGTTGAAAATGTTCACTAGATCCGAAACCTAAACGTAAGCAGCAATCGCAAAGATCGCACTAAAATGGGTAGCCTGAGTGTTTCTTCGCTATCTAAAGCGACACCCCAATGCACTGCCTTTTTTCCTGCAGTGGGTCCCAAACTACTCTGGTTGTATGCTGCAAACTTCAAATCGATCGAGACGGGAACAATCATTTCCACACTTCAGGTGCACAATGGTTGGCATCCAAAAATCGTGGGTAGCGTGCTGCCCCAAAAGTTGAATTAGGTTTCCGTTTCAGCGCTCAGGCTAAAAATATCTCAGCATGAAACCCAAAGGAAGCAGGAAAGTGGCAGTCAGCACGAAGGGAAACATTCTGTCGTAGATGGCGCCTGACTGAACAAAAAAGGCACGCAGCTCCCACATGAAATGCCGCTGTAACATGCCGTTTTGCATTGATAATTCGCAAGCTTACAACGAAATAAGCGAAGTCACATGTCAACGCATAGACAAGTGGGAAAGGAGAATTCTCGAAGTGACGCCAAATGAAAAACACGAAAATGAAGGCTGGAGAAGACTAAGGCTAGCGAAAATAATTGAAGTATAGGTAGGCAGAGCGACAGGGACAAGAGACAAAAGGAGGCATCACCATGCAGAAGAAGCGATACGGGCGAATGGGCAATGTTGCACGACAGAGACAGAAAACGAAAGTCGATAAGCATGGTGGGAACACAGTGAAGGGGCGACAGCAGGGGCTCGGATGTAAAAGCGGCAAATACAAGCAAGGCATGCAGAGGAAGCAGAAGATATGCACAACACAGAAGGAATCAAAGTGATGACGGCAGGTACAGCGGTTGTAAAGGACAGGGCATACTTAGGGGATACCTACAGAGACAGATGAATACGGGGTGACGGAAAAATGAAATAGGAAAGAAAGACACGCACAACAAAGCATAGACAAGGTGGGCGGGCACATAGGCGCAACAACAACGAGATTTGGACAGAAAGAAACGATGATACGCTGAACAGATAGAGCGGAGCATATCTACAGTGTGAAAGTTAAGGCGTCCAATAAGGCGAAAAGAAAAGCAAACCATGGCCAAAAAACCGGTGAGAACGCAGGGAGGTAGGAGGAAGAATCATGAGATGCACGCAAAACTTACGTCAGGCCATTCACCAAAACAAACACCAACAGTCGCTACTTGCCACGAAGTACACTCAATAGACCGTTTCTGAAGAAAAATCTTACGTATTTGATAAACTTGCTGTCCGCGGGGAGTGTGGGAGTTCGAGGGGCTCTCCTAATTCCTGGGATAGGAAGAGGGGCGATGAACGAAGAAGCGAGAGGCATTTCTGTCTGTGAAGTAGGCGAAGGCGACGAAGACACATCATGTTTAGACTGAAAAAAAGAGCAAACCAGACGCATGCCCAATACCTTGATGTGTCAAGCACATGACTCGCGTCGAAGCCTCCAGTTATTCACCAGGAGAGTCATTCCGTTGTGTCCAAAATGGCTGCTCTCCTTTCCCAAGAATCAGGCAGAAATATCCCTATGGACTGGCAAGAGAACATAGCAAGTGCTTACAATATGCACAAACTAACGTGGGTGGAAACGCGGAGTTAGCGTACTGGACAGCTTGGAAGTTTTCGCCGTTGCACGACGATTCACAGTTATAAGGACGTACTTGACCATGAAGCATACATGTTTCATGCAATCAAAAAGTGAAACTATCAGAGTCGTGCAACGAGAGAAATTCGGCTTACGGTTCGCTTTGCAAGGTCTGCGGAGACGGGGGAGGACGGGAGAGAGAGCCGACGAGTGGCCAACACCCCGAAAACAGGGGCGCGAAAGAATCTGGAAGCAACAGCCGAGGTCATAGTGGAAAAAGAAATCTACCAGACAGGGAATGCTGCAAAAATATGGATATCCGCAGGAACGCTCAGCAAACCGCCTGCTTCGAAACGGATTAGGGCTAAGAAGGGCCCGATATATACTCACTAGTACGCAGGCAGAGTTTCACACAAACTGCTAGCTTTTTGCTGTAAGTTGATTTATAACCACAGATTCTGCATGATTTTATTAGCTATTTCTGAAACACCTGGTGCGCATGCAGCCCCCGGTCTGCATAGTCGGCATATCACAGTTGATAGTTTTTAGCGGTAGGAGGTTCGCAACCAGCGACTTTTTTTCGAGTTCAAATTTTCCTTATGCAGCAGCTTGGAACTGTATGAAAGTTGGTTCTTGTGCCTTTTTACAAGCATATGCGCATTGGCGAGATAGGTTTGCTTGGATTCTTTTTTCCTAGGCTTCTGTGTGACCACGAGCCTTGTTGCGAAATATCTGTGTATGCAAGGCTTTTTTATTTCTCGCCTACCTCACGTAAGTTTGGCCTCAGTGGATGCTCTGTGTACGCTGCTCTTGTCCTCATTGTAACGAGTCGTTGATGCAACGAGAGTCCTCCATCTAATCCGAGGACCAACGCGAGATGCAGTACTCAGTCGACTTGAGGTAAGAGTTCCAAAAGCAGCGTACCCACGCTTGAGCCTCCAGGACTCCTTGGCACAGCGGAACAAGGGCCTGGGGCTGATGCGGACAGGCGCCTGGTCACGCTTCCCTGCCAGGTTCCCATAGCACCTTACAGCGAGTGCTTCACGGTTACCACAGGTGAAAGCATAGCCAAGCCTTCTGCTCGGTATGCACTAAAACTGTTGACAATTTTCAAACGCTACGGCCCTCAGTGGACGGCGGCGCGTACCAACGTTTGACTGGCCACACTACAGATAAGACATGACAGGCAGGAGACTCGTAGTAATTCTTCAGGACTACAAAACTGAACTAAGTAGATCAATCTGCCGCCATATCGTAATTCCTGCATTAATTGATACAGAGTGGCAGTGAGAATTACAGATGCGTTCCTATAAGCAGGATTGGGTCCACGGTCCACGTAGCGCATATTCTCTTTGCTGGGGACCTCATCACGGAAAGTACTACGCAGCAAAAGGGGGGAAGTTTGCCTTCACGAAACTCCAGACTCAGAAGGTACAACTACGGTGTGGGGGAACCTAGGAGGTAGGAGAGGGACAGGTGTGAACTAAACTCGCTGTAGTTTTGGACCATTTTCGGGCCCAAACAGCATACCTTGAGCTGACTCGGCCATAGGCTGTATAACACAGGCTGACCCAGCATCGGTAGTGCTCCAATAGTGCGATGTAATATTTTACAGTGAGCCTCCGCCCTGGGCGACTGAAGTGCTCATTGATGCCCTTAAGAGAGACAATCTTTTCGGAATAGGAGCAGTTTAAGGCGGTCCTTCTAGCTTAGTTAGCTAGGCCCAATCATTTTGTCTCATGTTTGAAGCCATAGATTTGCCTTCAATGATTCGATACGTACTAAATTCGTTCTCCATTCCCGAAGCGCAGTAGATCAGACTACCGGTAATGACAGTCAGAAGGCCCGCGTCAGCAAATGAGCGTGCTGCCTACCTGGGGAAGTGGTCTTCGCAGCCTTTCCAAGAAAGGCCTCAGCGAAAGGTTAACTTCGCGGAGGCGTAACTCGGGCTGGGCGACATTTCAGGTAGGCAAGTTGGCAAACTGCAAATTTGATCCCGCAAGCGAAGCCAGGGGTCATCGCCCATTCGTGGCACTTTGGCCTCACATACATCCTAGGTCCGGGCACGACGTAGTATTTTTTCCCTCTGTCGTTGGCGCTAGAAACGGTGTTGCTCTGTTAACCTGCACAGGCAATCTCGCTTCCCCGTCGCTCCGCTGAAGGTTGATCCCAGAGGTAGATCACCTGACCACTAAACTAGGAAGTCCACACTGCCTCAGCCGGCCTGGATACACTCGGGTCGTACCCGTATACTCTGTATTCTGCAGCATGGGGCCTCGTGGGGATCCTCAGCTCTTCGTCGTCAGTTTGTCTTCCCTTCTCACGTGCCCAGGGACTTTTTCACGACGTATGTACGAATGACGACCACAGCCTCCGTATCGGCATGTAGGCACCACTCTCCATTAGCTAATAGGAGCCGCACTACGCCACCTTACGGACCTCGGCGTATTAGTTGCGGGCGCATGCATAACCTGCCCACGGCAGTTCGCCAGTGGACACAAACATCCGATGCCTCTGTATCGCTGATAACCAAGAAAATGATGTGGTATGGCCTCCTCACATTCCCAGATAGATGGCGATGTTACCATTAATGTAACTCAATGTGCTGTAGTGGACATGCGAACTTCTCGTTATAACCTTTCTTCCATGCTAACACATTGAAATATGGGTTCGAACGTATAGAAGGGGATGGTGCGCGGTTTTCAGCCTTTTCCTAGCTCGCTCCTGTGATGGCTATTGTGTTTTGACTAGTTCTGGTCTCGCTGCTTCTGCTGCTACTGCTGTTCCCACCAGTTTTCTCTGCTGTTGCTAGGGAGAATCTGTCCCATGCTCGTGATGTGGTTCCTGTTGCAGCTATTCTTCTGCTCTACTTGTGGCCGTTCATGGGATAATGAATGCTGTTTGCTGACACGAACAGCAATCGAATTGTGGCTCGGGGTATTTCTCCACTTCGTAGTTCTTGTAAGAGGATGATCCCGGGTGAGCTCGCCACTACATCGAGTTAGGCAGGACTGGGTTTCTGTACATTTCGCTTCTGACGATCAGAAACAGATCATGCATTTCCTGGACGAACAACTGAGCAAGCTATGCAAGCCACGGCTATTAGGGTATTTCGACAACATGCCCACCCACTCAGTACAACGCAAATGGACTTGCACTTCTCCAAGGCATTTGCAAGAATTACCTGTACTTTGAATTAATGCCATGCCAGCGGTCAATTACACCCTAAAGAAATGCTGAGGTATTGCGCTAGTTCAAAAATTATTCATGTTAGCCCACCGTGCGGCAGGCTGGGGTTGACAGCGTGATGCGAATACAGTTGGATTTGGAGTAAAATGAAGAGCGAACTGTATTTCAAAAGGACTGCACGGACGAACGACAGCAAAATCCTTTCTGTGCCTGCAGGAAAAGGTTTCGGCAGAGATAGAGTGGAAAAGAACAACTACGAGATAGCTTGCAGAGGAGAATAATAACGAAACAACCTGTTTTTGCCAGGCCCACATCCAGTCCACCTCACGCCGGCCTGTAGTTGATTGCAGTCCCAGCTTGCTGAAGGCTAGCTGCGTACCCGGCAGGTGTAACCTGACGAGTGCATGGTGTTAGCCGGCACCGGGTTGCGAGCCACCACGGTCAGGATGCTGGCACTAGCATGTGCATCTCGGCGCGAGTACGTTGCAACTGTCATTCTTCGTATCTTACGGGTTGGTATTTCTCGGATTCTTCCGGGCCTGAACAGCAGACAAAGGCAACGCCTGCAATATGCAAAAGTGGAAACAAAGTCATTGTCCTCGTTATTTTGCTTTTTCCGCATTAGTCTCCTTTTGGCTGAAAGAGCTGTTGTGGCCAGGAACATAATGTGCCTGTACATTCGCGACTAAAACAGCAAAGCTTGCTTTTTTTTAGCAACGGCTGCTCTGTTTCTACCGTACATCATTTCTATAGCGCCTAGGAAGAATGACACCGGTCAAGGAAAAAATAAGGCGACCAATCGACGGACAGGGATGGAAACTCATAAATGTGCAGATGCAGAAAGGGACTGACAAACACAAGGAAGCAACAAGGCAAAGTTAGATAAAGAGTTAGATGAAGATTATCCTCCCACCTATCCCTCTTGCGCGGATTTGATCTAAAAGCCAAAGGGCGGGTGGCCGGACGACGAACTGCCAGCACTCTAGGCAAGCTCCAATTACGAGTAGAGAGCTTCCACTTGTCGAGTGGAGAGAAGATAGACAATCTGAAAAGGACCCTGATATGAAACTTGGGAAGGAAAATCGTGACCGCTGCTGGTGTTGCTGGACGCCTGGCTGACTGGGCTGTTGTTGCTCATTCTGCTGCTGCTCGTTCTGTTGCTGCTCATCCTCTTGGTGCTGCTGGTACTGCTGCGGGTTCAATCGCTGGTATGACTGCGGAAACTGATGCAGGGACTGATTAGAGTGCTGCCGCTGTTGAACGTTTGACTGCCCATCAAAGATGTACTGGGCTTCAGCCTGTGGAAGCTGCATTTGCAGCGCTTGCTGTTGTTGCGGCTGCTTGGTCTGGCTCTTGTGCTGCTGCAGCTGCTGTTCGCTTTGGTTTTGCTGCTCCACGACTCCTGGATAAATGTGGTCAGGGGAATTCACCGGCGTTTGTGGGTTCGTCTGCTGGGTATTCCATTGCTGAGTCTCCATTGTGGGATTGCCTAGTGTGCTGGCTGTCAGAGGTTGCTGGTTTGCTGCCGATGCGGCTGCTGCGACTGCAGCAGCAAATGTGGGACTATCTGGCTGAGCGATGCAGGAAGGAACGAAGACGGGAGCTGACGGATTGAAGAAAGAGAAACTATTCAGACTTCCGTGGGACGGTTCTGTGCTAACTCCGACCACTAAACCTCCTGACAGTGACGGCCCTTCATGCAGGTGGTGCTGCAGCGGTTGGTGCAACTGGTTCCTGCATGCCTCTGTTGTAGTCGGCTGCAACATAGATGCACCTTTGCTCGCTGTCGCAGCAGCAGGCACCATCGAGTCGATTTCCCCGGGAAATCCACGGGGACTTTCAGTCCAAACTTCGAAGGGTTCGAATATTCCAAACCGTGCGAAATTCCCTGCCATGCCGCCGTTGCCGTGGTTGTTGGCGTTGTTCTCGCCCTCTTCCCACCTGGCTCCGTTCATGTGATAATTCATTTGTGTTGTGTTGCTGGCCCTGCTGCTGCTGCTATTGCTGTAAACGCCGTTGCTGCCACTAGTGTTGGTGTTTCTGGTGGGGTAGTCGTTGTAGGCTCTGCCGCTGTCGCTGAAGCTGCTGCTGCTGCTGTGCGTATTGAGGGTGATGTGGTCGTTAGCAGGAAGTGCAGCTGCGCTCATTTGCTGATACGTGCCGTCATGCACGTCAGTAGCGCCAGCTGCCCCTTCACTCGTTGTTTCAGGCAGGAGGCTGAACCCCGGTGGCCCCCGTGCTGCATCTGCTGGGGCAGTTGGAAGTCGCTGCTCACGCGACAAGAATTCTTCTGGGTGCTGTTCTTGCTTGGAAAAGTTCCCTGGTGCTTCTTCGACTCCTGTCACAACTGCTGGCGATGGTGCTACCGTTATTGGTATAAGAGGCAGCAGGTATCTGTTCAGGTGGACGTACTGCAGACAAGCACGGCAGAAGCCAAGGCGTATGTTTTCTGGGGACAAGCAGCCATCCCACGGCGGCGGCATTCTCATACCAGAGGGGACAATGTATCGCCCATTCGCAGCGTTTTCAGTTGAGCCTAAAATAACATCTGAGACAATACAGGCGGGAGTGTAGGGGTTGAAATATTCCGCGCGTTGATGGGTAAGGGGTCCATGTTGGTGCCGTCCCTGCTCCGGCTGTTGATGCAGCAACTGCTGCTGCATATATGCTTGCTGCTGGTGCTGCAGCCAAAAGTTTTGCTGTTGTTGCATCCACGCGTGCGGTTGCTGGAGCTGCCACAGTTGTTGCTGCTGCTGCCAAAATTGCTGTTGCTGCAAAGCCCACAGGTGTTGCTGGTTTGGTGTCCATGGATGCTGTTGCTGGAACAGCCGCAAACGCTGCTGGTTAATCAAAAGCCATGCGTGTTGCTGCTGCTGCAACGACCAGTGAAGTTGCAGCTGCAGCCAGGCTTGCTGCTGCTGCTGCTCGACGACTGGGCGCTGCTGCGGTGTCGCTGGGTAGGAGCCTTGCGGCCGGGCAGTATATGGTTTCCCGTAAATGAATAGCTGTTGCGGCGGCGGTGGTTGCTGGCCATGCTGTTGTTGTGTGAGGTGCAGTTGTTCGTGCTGCAACTGTTGCTCGTGCTGCTCATGCTGATGCAGCCAAACTTGCTGCTGCAACTGCTGAGGATGCCATGCTCTATGCTGCCCCCATATATCCTGCTGTTGAAATGGCTGTCTCTGAAAGGCCGAAAGACGCTCTCGGTACTCATAGGGAAGCTCAATTCCTTGCTCCAGCTGCTGTTGCTGAAGGGGATGCTGCTCCTGGTAAGACCCTTGGGTTTGACTGGGTTTCTGAATGTCTTCTCTTGACAGATAAGGAATCATCACGAGCGGCTGAGGTTGTTGTTGTGTGTGGCCTCGTTGCTGCTGCTGTTGCTGCCCTCCGTACGGATGCCGCTGCTCCTGTTGCTGCTGCGTTTCTTCTTGTGGCTGCCGCTCATGTTGCTGTTTGTGCCCAGGCCCACATATCGGTTGCTGCTGGTGGAGCGGGTAGGGAAACGCCTTCGATTTCTCGTGTTGTTCTTGCTGTTGTTGCTGCGGCTGATGTTGGTACAGCAGCTGCTGCTGTTGGGAATTGCGATGCCGTTGGATTTCTTGTTTTGGTGCTGGCTGCTCGTAGCTTCGATGTTGGTGTTCTTCCTGCTGCATCCCTTCTTTCATCACCTGCCCTCTGCTAGACCTGCTTTGCGCTCGTGCCTGTTCCTCTAAGAACTGCAGCCGAGCGTGTGCCAACTGTTGGTGTACCTGCACCACGGTCGTGTTGAGTCTGTCTCTGTGTTGCTGCTCTGTTGTTTGGTCCTGCAGTCGCTGCTCCTGCGGTTCGCTTCTAATTCTTTTGTCTGGCACCATAGGAAACTGCGGGGTCAGCCACATTTCAGGTTCACTGCGGCGACGGTTCCGTCCGTCAATGCATTCGTCTGCTGCCTGCTTATCATCGTTTCTGCAAAGAGTAGTTCTCACATCTCCTGCCTCCACAAACGAGCCAGTTGCTTCATGTGCGCGGTGCTCTCTGCTGTTTCGGAATTCGCGCTTGGTGGGAAACTCGATGGCATTCTGAACCCAGGTGGGACGGGAACATGGGGCGAAAGGAACAAGAGAGTCAGGTCCACCGGCGTTGCTGTGACTGCTCTTACTACTGCTTTTAGCCCCCCGTTTGCTCGACAATGGAGTACGCAAGTCTCGTTCCTTTGGCTGAGTGCAATCCTGTGGCTGTTGCTGCTGCTGCAATACATTTTGCTGTAGCCCTGCACCCTGTTGCCGTAGATTCTGTTGGGTTTCTTGCTGTCCTGCGGAGCTCTCAGTGGCCCTCAGTGGGAGACTGAAAACCGGCTGCTTCAGCTGTTTCTGCAAGCGCCGTTGCTCCTGAGGCAGCAGTCGATGACGGCTACGTGAGTTCTTGGCTTGTTGACATCCTCTCACCAGAGTCGTTTTCCATTGTTCTTGTGGATGCTGCGTCAATTGGGTAAATGCCGCCACAGGAGGCGGAGGAGGAGGAGGAGGAGGAAGGAAAACGGGGTTTCTTTTTCGGAATATATTTTTCGCCGGTCCACCTCTTGCTGCCTGCTTACTGTCGGCTGCTTGCTGCTGTGGTGCTCCAAGAGGCGTCCAACGCTGGCGAAGGATGCACTGTTGGTCTTTGGAAAAGCGGCGGCCGTCTGCTTGCTGGAGTGGCAGCATAGGCGCTTTACTATTTGTATCTCCGCTTCGTTGTCCTTCATGGGAACCTGCATGCGGTGTTGTCCTGAGTGGCTGATTGGGAGTATCTGAAAAGCTCATTCGAATGGCGAGCTGTTTTTGCGTGCTGGGTGTTGTCCCCCAAGGCACGTGAGGTAGAGGTGAGCTTGTACTTGACAGAAGATGCTGCTTTAAATAGTATTTATTATCGTTTACCGCCGCTAGTGGGGTAAACGACAGTCGCAACAATTCGCTTCTTGTCATTGTGGCATTGTTTTCAGGCTGCAGTTGCTCGTGCTGTGACTCCTGCTGCTCAAGTTGGTGCCCTTGCTGCTGATATATCTCGTGCTGCTGTTGACATACCTGCTCCTGCTGCTGTCGTTGCTGCTTTACCTGCAGTTGCTGTTTTCGCTGCTCCTCCATCCTCTGGACCGGTGTTTGGGGCTGTGGGCCTTTTGGCACAGGATGCTGCGGCTCCTTCTGTTGCAGCCACCGCTGCTTCGATTGCTCTTTATGAGGCTGTGTCTGTATCCTTGGGTTCTCCGCAGGTGTTTGGCCCTTTCCTTTTTTCATCTCGTCCACGCTTGGCTGTTGCTGCTGCTCTATCTCCTGTTTCTCTTTGGATAACGGTTGTTCTCGCATAAGGGGGGGTTCCTCTTCGTTTACACCTTCCCGTTGCTCGTTGTGCCTTCCCTCCTCGCGGGTAAGTTTCTCATTTTGGCCTCCGTTTGCAGGCAGTTGTTCTTCTCGGCGTGGCACTGAAAGCTCCATCCAATCCGTAAAGTGTTCTTTTATCTGTTCAGCTTCCTGGTAAGGCTCCTGCTGTTTTTGCTTTTGCCGGTGCTTTTCATTCCGTTCGGTTCGATCTTCTCTTTGCTTCAACTCCTCTTGTTCCTTCTGCCTTTCCCCTGTTGTTGGCTGTCTTGCGTCTGTCTGTTCCCGTTCTCCCATTGATTGCTTTCTTGGGGATCCTTCCTGCTCCGTTGGGAGTTGTTGCTTCTCCTGGCTCTTTTGAACACACGCTGATTTTCGTCCCTTCTGCAGTGCCTGCTGTACCTTGTGCTTCGAGGTCGCTGGTATAGTGACTTCACTTAGCTCCAACGGATGTCTTACCTCCTCATGAATGGGCGCAACGTGCTGCTGCTGCTGCTGAAGCTGCTGTTCCTGTTGCCGTATTTGACTGAGTTGCTGATGCTTTTGCAGAATTTCTCTCTGTTTCTTCCTTTGGTTGGGCTTCGCTGTCTCTGCTTCATTTGTAATCGCTCGTGGTTGCTGCTCCTCCAGTTGCTGCTGCTGTACATGGGCCTGCTCTTCCTGTGCAGGCGCCGTACGACTGTCCTCTCCTTTTCCATCTGTAGGTGACTGGTGTTGATCCTGCTGCGAATGCTGCTGCTGGTTCTGCGTCTGTCTCTCCTCTTGTAGCTGTTGTTGCTGTTGCTGCTCCCTCTGTTCGTGGTTGTGCTCTTCCTTCGTTTGCATTTCTGAAGGCTGCCGATGTTGCCAGTTGGTACTTTTTCGCTTAATGAGGGGCGTACTGCGCGGCTTGGAACCGCCTGTGGGCTGTTGAGCCTTCGGTTGTTTCTGGTGGTTCTGTTTCTGTTGCAGTTTCATATGAATTGCTTCTCGTCTCGCTTTTTCCAATTTCTCCTGCTGAGCTCTAGCTTTCTCTTGCAGTCGTGCATGGAGTTGCCTCTGATGCCTATTAATGAGCTCCTGCTGCATTTGTTGAAGCTCCTCTTGGTGCATGTGCCGCAAATCTTCCTCCTGTTGCTTCTGCGCAAGGAGCACCCAGGGTCGTTCCAATGGGGGATGCTGCTGCAGCGCCTCGTGTTGCTCTTCTTCACGTCTCTGAACGATTTGCCTCTGCTGGTATTCTTCTCGAAGCAGCGCCTGCATCTCGTGCTGCAGCCATTCTTCCGGCATATTGTGCAACGGAAGCAGTTGATGCTCTCCGTCTTCAAGATATTGGCCGCCAGTCCTACTTTGAGTTCCGCCTACTGGCTTTTTACAGTGACCAGCAAAAGTAGTGCCTTGTGAGCGGGTTGCTGCGCTCGAGGAGGCGTTGCCATCCAGTGGAAACATCTGGCGTTGTTGTTTTTGCAACGCATTCCCGCCAACTTCGCCGTCCTTAGAGACACTGTCCCTGCGCATGCCTAAGCTTTCTCTCCCGCATTCTTCTTGGTGTGGAGAATCCTTATGGTGCCTGTGCATTTCCAATGGTTGAGACTGCTGCTTTTGCTCCTGATGCTCAGACCGGTTGCCATACTGTTCGTTCCCCTTGCATCCTTGCTGCTGCTGCTGCTCAAGCTGCTGGGCCCTCAACCGATCTCGTTGGCTCTGTTTTGCCGTTAGCCGTTGGCGCCTGGAGCTCTCATCTCCGGGCTTCTGCCTGCGCTGTTTTACATCCTTTTGGGCACTCTCCTGCGTGACAGCAGGGTACTCACTTCCTGTCTTTTCGCTGCATAGCTCTTCTTGTTTTGAATTTCGTCTTGGTGTTGTTGCCCATTGTGTCTTGTGTGGAGAGTTCGGTGAGATTGAAGGAGTTGTCCTTCCCCTTTGACCAGCTTGCTGTGGCTCAGATGAGTCAATCACAGCGGCGGCAACAAAACTTGGTTCTCGCATATCCGGCACCGGCATGAGGGCGAAGCGCTCTTTTTCCTGATTACCTCCTACATTTCTCGTTTTAGGTGTTTCTGCGGGTTCTCCCGAGACAACGGGAACGGGTGCAAATCTGTTGTATGCCAGAGGCTCCTCCAAAGTGTCCAATGGAAAATAATTGCATGCACATGCTCTTCTGTTGGGTCCAGACCACTCGTCTTTGCTAGGAGGGACGCAACTGAGCAATTCTTTAGGGAAAAATGTGGCGTCGCCGCTGGTAGGTCCTTCTGAAGTTCGCTGAGAAGCATGAATTCGATCCAACGGAATGGCGGTGACTGGGCACCGCAGGTAATAGTTATCACGGCTCAGTCGTTCTTGGGGTATACAAGGGATATGCATTAAGCTTCGAAACATAGGCAAGTCGGAAGATAAACATGATGCGGCAGATGTATAGTCCCCAAAGGGTGAAGCAACCATGGGAGTACACGAGGCGGCTGCTAATCTACCTTCCGTATTTATCTGTCCGCCTGAACCACAAGCAGCCGCCTGCAGGGGACTGCTGGCTGGAGTCTGAGCGACAGCAACAGGTAAATAAGACAAAGACGCTTGAGAAGCAAGATCGACTTTGCGATGACTTCCTCTTGGTTGCGCCGTGGACGAACGGGAAAACAGTCGTTGAGTCCTTTTGAAAAGCCTGTGTTCAGAAAAGTGAGGTTCTTCGCTGCTGCACACGCTCAAATCTCCACTACTTTCATGTTTGGAGTCCGGACCCCACTCAGGTTTACTTGTCTGTGATGAATCAGGTGCAGAAATAGGATGCATTAGCCTTGTGCCGCGAGGTGGAATGAAGGCCGCCTGCTTTCTTATTTCGGACTGCAAGCAGGATGCCTTTACCGGATTAGCACCTGACAACCACAGAGCTTGTGTGCAGCTACTACCCGCTCGCTGCAAGGGAGCACTGGCATTTCGATCTATCCCACACGACAAAGGGACTGCCGTAGGAGATATTCGCCGACTGCTGCATGATGCGCCGCAAGATATCTCCACCCTCGAGAGTGCAGCTGCTTCGCCTGTCGTTTCAAACATTGGCTGATTTAAAGCAGAAGTGGGGGCATCTTCTCTTCGACCTTCAAAAATCTTAGGGGGAACCAGAAGAGAAGCCTTATGACGACGATATTGGCGAAGAGGCAGCAGTTGAAAGGGGCGTTGCTTCCTTGTCACCTGGGCTCCTCCCATCCAAATGTGACTGCCAGCGAGGCTCTCAACGGAGCTGAATCTGTTCCGATTAGGTAGCCGCAAGAAGCAAGCCCGTGAATTACAGTTCTGTTCGTCCTGTGTTCCGGTGTTGGGAGGAGCCCTGACGGCAGGCGTAAGTACAGTCCCCTTAAAGGTGGTTTCCACACCAATTGTCTGTTGTTTTGTCTTCAAAAATACAATATCCTCAATACTTTGTGCGTAGCACCTTTGAGGCACCTTATCTAATGCTGACGTTGAGCGTCTCCAGCACAGCTTGCCCAGTGGCCGTAAGGGCCTTTCGAGATTCTCTCTGCAGCCCACGCAGCCAATATTTGCAAAATTCGTGCTTTTTGTCGACCACCCCGGTCTCCCCAGATGCATTCGAGGCTCATTCTCTAGGCTGCCACCACTCCTACAGAAGACTGAGCTGCAAGAAGGCGCTTGCCACATATTATTACTCCTTGAGGCGTCGCTGGGCGGTCTTCTGCCATAGCGTTCCCCTCTCTCTAAGCAGGCTCCTCCTACAGACATTGATCTTTGTGCTTGGATGCTGAGTGTGGATTTAAGAAGGTGAGGACTCTTTGATATCGTCGGCAGGGTGCGCGCGTGTTCGTAACTGCATGAGCAAAGCTAGAGAATGGGGAATGAACATGAAGTGCCCTTCTCCGTTCCTCGCGTTCCTCGCGTTCCTCGCGCCTTTTCTTAGTGTTTGAAGAGCCCTAGAGTATAGAATAACTGGGCACGTTAAGCAGCCTTTCGTATGAACCATCAGCCAACGCTCTTTGTTGGCAGTGAGATGACAAAATTTGCACCAAATACTTCCTACTTCGGGCAGTTTTTTCCGCCAACAGAGAGCTGCAAATGCCAAGGGGTGCACTCTACCAGTAAACAGCGTACATCAGCAATCGCCGAAATACGGTCAAGTTATTCTTCTTTATTCGAGGTATCAGGAGAATACTTTTGAGCTTCAAAATATCACACCAGTCCGGCAGAACGCTGAAAATGAAGTGCAAGTAAACGTAGGAAGGTGGTTTTTTAAGTGCGGAACGAACTGGGTTGTGCGGAGAAAACTAAGTAATGGGATTGAGCAACAAGAAAAGGACAAGAGATTCAGCTGACAACTTATGAGGGTAGAATGATGTATCATAAGGAATCCAGGAGTAAGATGACCCCAAAAAGATGCTAGGATTTTCAACCCGGTGTCCCTACGGAGCACATTAGTAATGGTTTCCCCTTGGGTGAAATTAAGGGTGGAAGTGCTCAGGATATCTTATTTCTGCATCGTAGGCCAAAAGTACGCTGCCATACCAACAAAAGCACTGCTGGTGGCGGCCTACGTGACCAATGGTGTCGCTTGTATTCGACGGTTGTAGCAAAATTGCTGTGCAAAAGCCAATCTTCTTTTCTTCTTCCACTTCTCTTCAAAGAAAAACTTACTATGATAGCCTGTAATATGTTTTTTCCAGACAAAGTAGGCTCCTGACTTGCTAAGCGTGCGACGGCCGGAGGTGTTGTTCGGCAGCCCACAAAGCGTGCGAATGGCAAGGGGAAATTTACTTACCAAGCTGTATACTCACGCATGATCAAATGCATCACTATTGACGAATAAGTTTATTTTAACCCCATGGACTGCCTTTAAGGCGATACAACTTCGTCGGACTCTGCATTGGCTGATTCTGCACGAACTGCAGCCGAAGAGTTCGATGCTCTGCATGTACTAAGAGAAACGGGAACAGCAGTGGCAAGTTGTGACGAAACCTTCTCTAGCCAGGCTGCTTGCTACACAGACCATCCGAATAACGCAACAAGGAACCCTCATCTGCTACGCTCACCATGCCCCGCCAGCATTCCAGTGAAACCTGTGTATACAGCCTCTGGAGAGCAAGCTGCTCTCTCCTTCACTCGAAATATGCATTTGATGCGCATAGGAAAGGAACGACCTTCTTGGTGCTAGCTGGACTCCTACGTATCCGTTTGCAGCCTCTGCCATCCCCTGTTTGTCCTGGCACAATCCTATTCGGCCAGTCACCATCTATCACCTCTACACTTGCAGCACAATCCACTAGTTTCGCGCTTGTCTATCTTTCCATTGCACAACCCGAGTACAATGCGACGCAATTATATCGTTCAACGCTGCAGCTGTTGAATCCTCAACCCCACAACCCCCTATCCCTATCCAGCTCCCTCCCGCTGGCTGGCGGCACGAACGCTGCGGCAATCTGAACCGCAAGGACTTCATTATATGCACTATGTGCAGATAAAGAATGTATAGGATATACTCATGCGCATCTTCAAGCAGACAAATGAGAAACTGCGAGGATGGCAATTGGGTGGCTAGGAGAAAAGCGTCCCCAGCCTTCGATCGCCACTCACTACCTATGGCACTACGCACAGGAGGAGCTCTGAATATGCCCTAGTAGAAACTAATACTGCCATTAACTTCACTGTGGATATTACGCCGTAGCAAAGCATTCAAGGAAAGATCAGTAGTTTCTTTTAGTGGCAAGGCGGGTGGAACTTTGCCTTACCCATTCCCCACCCCTTGTGAAATTCGCCATTCGTACATGTCCTCCACTGGTAGGTGAATGAATGCATCACTACTTTCATAACCACCGCAATAAGCGTCGGCTAGAACTAGACAGTCCGCACGTTTTCCACAAACTGGGCATCAGACATCCAAGCATGGAAACAAGAGATGGGAAGCTACTCCAAACTCGTTCCTCCTGATTTTGACCTAAAGGTACCCAATTCAGAAGCCGTCGTTGCTGATCGGAAGGTGGTTAGATCGTCGTAAGGGTGGTTGAAATGATTACTTCCAGTTCCTCCACTAGTAGCATCTGCAGCTGCGCCTTTCGTCGGGCCACTCATCTTCAGTCCCTCCGCGCCCCTCTCTTCCCCAACAGCACCTGCTGTTGCTGCTGCGTTCAAATCTCGTCTCTTCTGGCCACGATTACGATCTGAGGAAGGAACAGTTGTGACTCTTTGCGGGCGACGGTCAACCTGCCTGGCAGCAGTCTCGCCGCCCGCTAGTTGAGGTTGACGAGAAGCACCTTTCTTTATAAAATCCCTCTCCAGATCGGCTCTACGTCTTTGCGCTAGCTCCATAAGCCGGCGGAAGTGCTGCTCCCTTGTGCCTTTGGGAAGAAAGCTCCGCACAAGTTCGTTGGTTCCCGGCGGCGCGTTGGTGATGGATCCGTTCAGAAACACGGATTTCTTCACTAAATCAACCGCTTCTTCCTCCTCGACTCCGAGAGCCTCATACACCTCTCTTCTCACGGAATCGCTCATTCGGATCTCAGTTCGTCTCAGATCCAAAACGTACTTCTTCGTCAACAGCACCTCCTGCAATTCCTTCTCTGAGCTCATGTTAGGCACAGTGAGCTCTCCCGCCACTTCCAGGATCACAGATCCGTCCCCTATCATGGAGAGGCCCCTAGTATCCAGTGTGTCCATCATGTTCTAACCACCCCTCTCCTAATCGATCCCGTCACTCTGCAACGAATTCCTGCCGCAACCCTTTCGTCCACGTGGAAACTGGAAGAATCACTTCCACAACGAACTCATGGTGCAGTATGCAGCTCGAAGTAGGGGGAAGCTCGAGAAAAGAACAAATGCAACAGAATCTGCAGAGAAAACAGGGAGCGGGGCGCGCTGCGAGTACAGCACGCTCCTTACCCCTGGAGGAGGCAAGCAAGGAAAACCGGAGAATTCCGCGTACAATCGATTAGCAATGAGGATATCTTGAAGTATACGTTCAAAGAAAGATCATTCGCGAAGCTGCAGGAGCGAGCTGGCGCGAACCAAGTTCGAGTGTGCTAGCGGCTCGCCTATACAGCCCACTTTGTCTACGGGACGGCTAAGCACACTTTTCCGTGCACCTACACTCGTTTTTTCTACCTGATACACTAAGTAATCTTCAATAATGGTTTTATGGTGTACAATTGTTCTTGAGTCGTGTTTGTCTGCATCTGTTTGGCGCTTGGTCGTCCGCAGCAAGCCCATTGCCACCCTGCTTCCGTCTTACACACACTTTGTGTTTTGCTTTTTTAACTTCCATTTAAATTATAAATACCCTATACTTACATAACCTATTCTGTATCATCATCACTTGGCGTTCATCTGCTTGGGCATGTACGGGAGTGGAGTGTGTGGCTGCGGTTTCTCTGGAAGGAGGGATTCGCTACCGTTAACTGCTTAAACTGCGTGTTGCGGTGCATTTTATTTCCTTGGATGGTGAAAACCTTCCCCCTGTTGGCCCGGAGTGCTGGTTCCTTGCTCCCGTCGGGACACAACGGCGCGATGCCGGGCCTCTATTTCGTGGGGAGTGGCAGCTCTCATCACACTTTCCTTTGCATATGTGGGAGGTTGCGTTACTGTGGAAGCAACTGCACTCCTTATCGTTTGCGCCTGTTGAAGGTATTGCTGCCCCTCGACGCAACAATACTCGTAGCCTGGTTTGTGTGAAGTTGGTAAGCGTATTTGTGTTTGCAAGAATGCGGCTTATTGAGGGCGGATGAAAAGTTTAAAAATTGTTTGCAGTGCTTATGAGAGCAGCAAAGTGGGCTTTGTCATACTTTTTTGTGGAGTATTCGTGCAGCAGGAGTTGCAGCAAGGTGCGCTGCAACTCGAGGGAGACCGTATCGTCTCCATCCTAGCCCCAGGGTGTGTGCCGCTGTACGCAGGATGGCTGAAGACTAGCGTGTAGATCAGCTGCTTCGTGGGAACCGTTATATCAGGTCCCTGAATATATTGCCACTCCTGGAGGTCCTCGGCTGAGAGCGAAGACTGTCGTTGCACTTGTTAGCACCAGACAGTGGCATTCGAGAGCTGCGCAGACAGCCGGCAGGGCGGGAGCGCCTGGTGCACATCACCGATTAGTCGTTTAGGTACTTTGGTCGGAAGAATACAAAACTAAAGTTTTGGATATTTTCTCAGAAATTTGTCGAATTCAGCGCTCGAAAAGTGGAGTTATAGGATAGGATTCCCAAGGGGGAGACGAGCAACGGCTGGGCGCCTCATTGCATTGGAACAAGAATGCTCACCCAGTCCAGCGGGGGGAATGTGCGTACAGCGGAAACAGACCACGAGGGATGCCACCACTCTCCACGTTCATATGAAACGAGCCCCGTGATGGGTGGGCATTGGAGCTGTCTTTTTGACTTCAAAATTCATTCTAGGAGTTACTGTTTGTATTGGAGTTAGCTTTATAAGGAAGGGTGGTACGGCAACAGCGATTATGTCGAATAAATGCATTGGGTACTGTACAACTGTCCTGAAGCACACCGTAGTGGGGAAGCTTCCCAATGTGCGCTGCGGTGTCGGCTTATGGCCAACTCTACAGGGAAATATTTTGCGTCAGGATTGACCTAAACTAGGGGAGATATCCATCAAGCGGTACATCAAATATGAGCCCTTCATGAACAGATATCCAGCTTCTTTGTCAGTGGTTCTTAGTAGGGCCATGCAGACAGATAGTCGGCAACTGGATGGACGTAGGAGAGGGGACGAAAGGGTCAAACGGTAGAACTGGACGAAGTCGTGAATTATCCACACAACAAATGGGCGAGAACCCCACTTCCACTTCTTGAGCTGCGAAGCAGAAAATGGGTTTGAAAAGCTGAACCGCATGTGGAACGTATGGATATTGGAGCTGTGACTACTAGCCCAGAGAAGAAAAATGTAAGGAGCGAGAACAGACAGCCGCCGGCGAATTCGGCACTCGAATGGCAGAGGGCAGATAGCGTAGCAAGGGAGTACTTTACCTGCAGATCCACCCAAGTGTGTGTCTGCATCCAGTTCGTGGTAATGCTTGGGGGCTTCTACCACCGTTTGGTTCAAGATGCAGAGTGTATGTGCTATCTGAAGCCTCGGCGAGGAGGCGCAGCTTACCTACTCGTTCGTTGTCATTTGTCTTCCACTACTTTTTGCGAATGCCACATAGAACACGAGTGGAACTACGTTCGTCGAATGCTGGCGCAAATTAGAAATGGGCCAATATTAGCATGGTACAGGACTTTTACGGTGAAGCAATTTACCTCGCTTTAATCGTAGCCACTCCGTGGGTGACTGCATGCAGGGCGCGCATTCCGCTTCCTGAAGACGCCGTCGAGATATGTGCGCAGAGGAGCAGTGAAAGACTGCAACTCCCAGCTTTGCGAACAGCAGCTGCGTCTCTATGTGTAGAATAGTGGAATGAATGTTCTAAGAAGGAAACGAGACGATTCCAACTGAGGGCAAAGGCATTGCTGTAAACGAAGGGGAAGCGCACGCACTCCGTCGTGATGGCCTTATGAAGACCGCAGTTTTGAAGGATTCGATCTAATTAGAATTCCCAAATCAATGCAAGCAGGCACAATTGAAGGAAGAGTTATCAGATGTAATAAACAGCAAGGCGAATTCAGCGGGCCGTTTACCCGTTCGATGCCCAACGCACAGCATTGAACTCATTCACCGAGCGAACACACGCTTTGTTCCGAGGTATAGGCAGCTCCCACATATTTCAGCCGAAATTGAGAGGCGGGCAGGCAAGTTGCTAAGCTACGGAAACGCTTAAACATCAACTAGCTCGTTCGGAGTCATTGCGGTGCTGGCACGGGAGGTGGCGCAAGTAAGTCCCCCAACAAAACCGTCGTAAAGCAAAAGCTTTACATGTTCGGAAGAGCAATTGCTTGGCTTGCATGGTTCAGTATTAGCAAAGTCAGAGTCAAATGACGAGTGTTATCTATTCACAATTTGACTTTGCTGGCGCGCTGCTGCATACCCCAGTACATACTGACGGCATGCGCAAGACCACGTTCCATGCCCACACTTGGAAACTATGCTACGCATGCTGCACTCGTATACCCTCTGCGTTGGTGCATCCACTTGCAGGAGAGCATCCGCAGGTCAATCACGGTTTCTTGCAACTAATGGACGGCGTGCATATGTTCGGCTGGACCGTGCAGGAACACATACAGCGCAAAGGGCATGCTCTAGAGCACCTATGTGAGCAGCATATGTGAGCAGCAAAGGTTCGCAAAAGCATAGATGTGTTTGTTTTGCATGCAAACAGTTAGATTCCTGGGGTTTCGCGTTTGCAGGTAGGCGCTGCCCGTGTACACTTGCATGGGCGTCCAGAAGTTCCTTGGCCTCGCATCCTACTAGCGCAACCTCATCCCCGTTTTCGTTCGCATTGTCGCCCCTATAACGGATATAATTAAGAAAGACAACTAATTTATTTGGACAGAAAGTAAAGGCGCGCCAGCCACCCTCCGCATCAAACGCTTGGCATCGTCTCCAGCACTCTCACTCCCTGATTTCGGCAAACGCTTCTTCCTAACAACCGATGCCAGTGGCACAGCAGTTGGGCTGCTGTTCCCTCAGCAAGCTAGCGACAATCACAAGTACTAAATAATCAAATAACCACCAAACGAACAAGCAGATCAAGCAAACACCAAATAATCGCTCGCCACTTATACCGTTATACGGAAAGTGAGGAGAAGTCTCTGGTAGGTGAAGAGGTGCTCTATATGTTCTGACTGGGAGTATGGGAGTGTCCAGATTAATTATCTTGCAGGTACTTCACTGTTCAAGCTTATCCTTAACGACTGTCAGGCATGACAAAGAATTTTCAAAACTGCGATAGTGAAAGACTTTGTCGGCATTGTTGTGGGCTCACGCAGTATAACTTCACACTCCAGAAGGCCAACATTGTCACAGATTCACTCCCCAGACACACTAATAGTAAGACATTTGTTCCGCGACTGCGCTTAACTTCACTGGTCCCTGCCTTCATTTTAACTAAAGTTTCTCTTTCTCCGCCGACACTTAAGTGGCTGCGGTTTCTGATAGCAAGAAGTGCGTCACGGACGACCGCTTTTTGCGGTAGCAGACTCAGCGTGGACTACAGCAACTGTATCTTTTAGGCCCGTTTCGTGCAGACGTTTCGCGCAAAATGCACGAACACGCTGCATGCTCGTGTTTTGTTGACACCCGTATAGTAGGCCATAGCCTACTATAGGGGTGTCAGCAAGACACTGGGGACGTTTGGCAAAGTTTTTGTCGGGCTAGGCTGCCCCTCTCAGTGGAGAAATGCGTCCTCACGCCTCAGGAATATCCGCAGCAAAGCCAACACAACACTCTAGAACCCAGACCCCTCTGGCTTGGCTTCCATCCCTAAATGGATGTGGACGCACGCTCAGACAGAATTCATTGCGGATTTGCCATTGGTAGGAGGCCTCCAGAGCAATTTCGTTGTGGATAGACTTAACAGGTATGTTCACTACAGTGCCGATTACTACACTTTGGCACGAGTGACGGAAAATATCACATTTTGGCACAAGGAGGAAGGCAGGCCCAGATGAGGGCCAGAACACGGGGCCCAGATGGTCAGGGTTGCCTGATCTGCGGAGTTTGACACCCTTAAGACCCCGCTCCTGGTGCGACGCGGTGGGGCGTGCCTCTGTATCTCCGGCGTGTAGCGACAAGAGCAATGGACATGAAGGAAATAAGCAGCTTTTTCGACGGCGAAGCTGAAGCCAAGCGTAATTAATAAACCAGCGGCAGAAACCAAGTTCTCTTTCGGTATTGGAATTTAACTCAAGCGCGATTAGTAATTGTATAGAAAATTATATAGTTTTGACGGCGGTTTAGGAGCTTATGAGAAACTCACCGACGGGCGGCAGGCATAGACGTTGACCTGCTGCGGTATCCGTAGAAGGTTTCCCTGATTATACGATCTAGCTTCTCTTCGTACAGAGGCTTCGCTGAAAAGCGACGACCAAGCTGTATCTTGCCATGTTGGGTTCAATACGATGGTGAAGTGTTCGTTACGTCCCTGTGGTGGCCTGTGCTTCGCCACTCAGCAGAGAAATATGCTTTAACGGCTCCGGTATGAAAGCAGCAAAAGCTGCAGAACTCGCTTAAACCAGGACTCTTGCCTCCCCCTTGGGCTCATATGGCGCCTCTAAGTGCAACGGGAGTCCACAATGTCACCTAAGGCCCGTCGTGAAATGCAGTCGAGCCGATATACTCGGGAAAATAGTATTGCAAAGGCAAATTTCCTCGTCTTCAGCTTCCACGAGTCCAGGACAGAGCGGGTAGACAGCGCAAGGTCTTGGGACCGGCGCGAAGTGGAGGCGGCCTGTCTTGAGTAGCACCGTCCCCTCCTGCAACTCCTACTGCAACCATAGATTGAAGCATGCATAATCCCCCTTTATGATGCTTTCACTAACACTGGAGGTAATTGCTAAACGCCTGCTTGGCCCTCAGTATCTAGCCTGTCAGCAAGGACAAGCATACACACCAACTCCCAACAGACCATGCGGCCCTATTATTACAGTTCCAGGGGCCGCTTTAGAGTTCAGCTGTAGTCTACTTCGGTGCTCCGGATGCCTGCAGACCGCCGAGGAGGTCAAATGCTTTTAGGGTTGTATTACTTCAATGCCCGTGCTGCAGCTCACGAGGGTCCTCGACTAAGATCGACTTTTCTCATTGAGGATACGGTCTGCGTGATGTTGAATTTTGGGTTGCGGTAGCCAGCGTGTGCTCCATCGTGTCAATTCTATGGCGATTTTGCGTTGAGTAATTGCATTTAATGGCTTTTTTGCATAATTATCCAATTAAAGATTATCTAGTGGAGCGTAACGAAACTTCTCATTCTTACACCAGGATCGTCGTCGTAGAGCCAAAAGGCTTAACGGAAGAGTTCTCAATAGGCAGGTGGCCTTCACTACCGTCCGTAGACGTTGTTGGCACAGCGCCGCGAAGGAATGATTTTAGGGGAGATTCGGCGGTGGCACGCACGGAATGCTCCTCGCCTCCTCGCAACTAGTCCTAAAAGGCAACTTCACAAGCAAGCGTAACCTCCCCAGTTCCTTCTGTCTGCACTAAAACTGTAGAGGATTTCATTTCTACTTGGGTGCAGACTGCCCTCTAGGGCCAATTGGTACCAGCTTAAGACACAGCATGCTACACCACCTCAACCCCGCACTGAAGCCCCCCTTTCGCAACTTGCACTAACACTATAGGCGATTAATAAGCGCTTCCTTCGCTCTCAAAAGCCAAATGCATGCAAGTGGAAATAAGCGTACCAACATTATACACACTAGGCAGCTCAGGCTCATATAGGTTCGTTGCCGTGATGGTGTGAGGCGTGGGAAGCTTGCGGTCCAATGCAGCTTCACGAGCGGAAATGAGAATGCAAGCTCAGGTTATTTAGTATGGATTAATTACCTCTCCTCTAGCATTGCCGCAACGCATGCAACACCAGCTGGCCCCGCCAAATGGGATTTAGCGTACCAGAATCCGCGGGGCTGGAGGGGCACGGGCGGGAAGGGGAGGGGGGGAAGGGGCGAGCTAAAATGAGCAGTACGATTTTTCTGCAATTTTATGTTTTAGGAGCTGTGTTTTTCTTCTCCCTTTGTCGTCGGAGAGCTGACGGGTTGGGGTGTACGCGCAGGTGATCTGCACAGCAGTTGGTTGCTGCGCTGGTAGTGGGGCTTCTCATTATTTATTTGGTTTCTCTTAGTGGATTAGATTCATATTGTCTGTAATTTATCGATTTCAACAATATTTGCTGCTTCTCACAAATATTGCTGCGCGTCTACTAACGATGGCTACCGGCGCCGAACAAGCTCAGGAGGAGAAGGCGAAGGGAAATGCAGCTTTTCAGAAGGGTGACTTTGATGTGGCGGTGAAGCACTTTACAAAGGCAATTGAATTAAGTCCCTCAGATGCTGTTCTCTACTCCAACAGATCCGGCGCCTACGCCAGCCTCAAGGATTTTGAAAAAGCATTGAAGGACGCGGAAACTTGCGTCAAGTTGAAACCCGACTGGGCGAAGGTAAAGGGCAGCATAAAGGCAAACAATAACTTTTCTTCCTCGCAGTAGTCAAACCATCAAATGCCTTTTCTGCCTGCACGCAATCGGCTCCACGCAAACTCGCCGTCAGTACTGGAACATTCTTGTCCCTTTACGTATCCGGTGCAATTACATCAGTTTGTTCTCCCCAGCCGATTTCCGCTGCACGCCTACCTGCGTGGACAGCTGAGGGGTGAGCGCATAGCTGTTCTGCTTGATTGATTCTTTCCTTTCGTTTCCTCCGGTTTTTGTGTATTTCTGCAGGGTTACTCACGAAAAGGTCTGGCCGAGTTCAACTTGGGGCGGTTGCGGGAGGCGGAGGCCACTTACCAGAAGGGGTTGTCTATAGACCCCCAGAACACGTCACTACAGGCAGCACTAGCCGAGGTGCAGCAGAGCGAAGCGTCAATGAGGGATCTGCAGGCGATGATGGCGGTAACAAACGCTGTGCGCAGTCACCCGAAGCTGCAGAAGTACAGCCAAGAAGATCCTGAATATGTACAAAAACTCGTCTCAATCGTTTCCAAGATACAAGCAAACCCCAGCAACCTCCGACTCATCATGGCCCAGCCGGTACACTGCACCCACTTCTGTTTCACCTACTTCTGTTGTTCGTGTATTTGTTTTTATGCCTATTTGCGCTTGCGAATCTGTGGCTGTGACCTCCATGAAAACATATTTATCTGCATATATGTGCAAGCATGTGTATTCATTTGCACATACATAAATATATATGCGTATATGTAAATGTTTTGCAGTTTCGCATAGTTTTGTGTGTGTGTTCATGCACATCCACCTGTGAAAATGGAGTCGTGTGCGTTTTTAGGACGTGCGGATTCGTGAAGGCATAACAGTGGCATTGGGTGGTACTCTAGAGGAGGAGGAGGTGGCCCCAGCGAAGCCGTCTAAGACGCATGAGGATTCAAAGGAGCCGCCAGCTCCTAAGAAGGAGTTGACTGAGGAGCAGAAGAAGGCAGAGGAGTTCAAGCAGCAGGGTAACGCGCTGTACAAACAACGCAAGTTCCACGAGGCCCTGCAGGCCTACGATGAAGCAATCAAACATGATCATAATGAGATCCTCTACCTCAACAACAAAGCAGGTACAGCTCCAGATGATGCACACTTCCTATCTATACAAGCCCCAGCAATGTGTAATACAGAGACACCCAGATGAACACCCAGACGCAGCGGATGTCGCATGCGGCAGCCAAGAGGATTCAGATGCCTCGCTGAGCATGCGTATTTGTGGGTGTATTCTCTGCAGCGGTGTACATGGAGATGGGGGAGTACGAAAAATGCCTTGCTGAGTGCAACAAGGCGCTTGAGATGCGATATGAAGTGAAGGCGGACTACGACGTGGTGGCCAAGGTGAATGGAATATAATGCGTTTGAGCAGTATCATGGGAAGGGGGAATAGATGTATAAGCATATGTATTTATAGATATTTGCTTATCCATAATACGATATGTTTGTTTTTTCCTGTTGCTGTTCTGCGGGTAGCGTGCGAATGGATAGGCGTGTGGGTGTGCGTGCACGTCAGGTATACAACCGCATGGCGGCCTGCTACACGCGGCAGAAGGACTACGGGAAAGCGATTGAGATGTACGAAAAGTCGTTGTGTGAATCCAACACGAGACAAACTCGTGCAGCGCTGGCGGACGTTAAGCGCCTGAAGGAAAAGGCCGACAGAGAGGCGTACGTAGACCCCCAGAAAGCAGAAGAGCACAGACAAAAGGGAAACGAGTTTTTCAAAAACAATGACTTCCCAAGTGCTAAGAAAGGTGAAGCAACCAGATAACGGACTGACAATCTAACAAATACACCACAAGATGACTCCAGAAGGAAATGCACCAGCTTACCAGACAGGGGGTAGAGCAAAGAACACACAAACGGGCAGGGGAAGGACAAAAGTCTGAGGGAGGCACGAATAAACACGAAAACGCACGAATAGACGGAAGAGCAGAGCCTGCACATTGAAGCACCTAGAAGGCATCTTCTGTGCATGCCATCACTGGATAGCAATTAATGGTTGTCAGTTGTCAATTGCCAATTATTAATAGAATACATGATTAAGTTTTCCTTTCATTCTGGCCTTTTGGATTAGTGTGTGTTTGTTTTGAAGTTGAATCTGTTTTTGTGAAATCAAGATCAAATTTCACTCCACTCGCCCCCTGAAGTTAAATTCTCTTGTGACTTGCAGAGTACGACGAGGCGATTCTGCGGAATCCAAAAGATGCGAAACTCTACAGCAACAGAGCAGCTGCTTTAACGAAGCTGTTTGAATATCCATCGGCACTGAAGGTTCGTTTTGCATTGTATAAGGTGGTTCTAGAAAATCAGGGGCTTTCTGCCGCCGCCTCGCGCAGGGGGACTTCGTGGGGTGTATGTACATCCCTTATGAGTCGTATTTTCTGTGAACACTTAATTGAAGAGGGCGTCATATGTCTCTGTGGTGCGTGTGTATCATATTTCCCATCCTGTTCTTTACACTTCAATCTCTTTTTTTCGCACAATGCGGGCAACATCGAACTGAGGGTAGGGGAATGATGCGTTAGTTCAGGCTCCATGCACCCTTTGTGTTGGTTATTTTTACAGAATGTGCATTTCTCTTATTCATGACACGTCCATTTTTCCGAGATGTTTCGCTCTGATTATCTCAGGACTGCGACACGGCTATCAGCCTGGACCCGACATTTGTGAAGGCCTGGAGCCGCAAGGGGACGCTTCACTTTCTGCTCAAGGAATACCCGAAGGCGCTAGAGGCATTCGACAAGGGTTTGGCCTTAGATCCCAACAGCAAGGAGTGCATGGATGGCAAAATGCAAATCATCCGCAAAGTACAGCAACAGCAACAATCGGGCGAGGTTGATGAAGAACAAATGAGACACGCTATGGTGCGTTGCAGCATGGGCAGCACCGAAGTTCCAGTTTTGTACAATTGAATATGCAGGGACAGCTGCGCTATTGGCTGTCTACGTCCATGGCTTTGTTTTCATTCACCCTGCACGGGTTGGCTAACACTTTAGGGTTTACGGTCTGATGTTTAAGGTTAAGATACCTGAGCCCCGCGGGTTTCTAACGATGTCAGACACAATCCCATGGGAGAGGAATGCGAATGAAATCCGTGGTTATTTCTTTGCATCTGATGTTGTCTTTGTTTATCCTCTTTTCCTACCGCTTCCCCTTGGCGTGTCGCAGGCGGACCCGGAAATTCAACAGATTTTGCGGGACCCCCAGATGAGCATTGTGCTGCAAAACGCACAGGAGAACCCGGCCATGCTCAAAGAGTAGGTAGCCCAGGGCAGCAGCAGCTGCATTAAGCCCTAAACCTCAAACTTTGAACCCGAAACCTCGAAATTCGAGGCGTTTGCTTCTGCTGCTTGGGGTCGTGCAGTTGAGCGAGACAGTGGCGATGCTTTTTGCAACTACAGCAACCCGTTGTTGTGTCTGCTGCCCGGCTTCTACTTCTGCGCAGGTACCTCCAGGATCCGAAGATTCGTGACGGTATAAATAAGTTGATAACTGCCGGCATTCTGCGGGTGGCGTGAGGTTGGCTGGTGCATGCACGCAGTGTGCATTCACCCGGGGGCCAGCCGGAGCTGATCCAGCCCATGGTTTTATAGACTGAATTTTCATCATCAGCAGCACCAGCAGCAGCTGCAACAACAGCAGCAGCTGCATTATTGCTTCCTAGCAGGACCCCGTTCATATGAGTTTGCTACAAGGGAACTGCTCGCGGAGCTGTAGAGAACAAACGGCGCCCGACAGTTGGTATGGATTTCTATTCATTTCTGTGTTTGCAGAAATGAATAGAAATTCATACCAACTGTCGGGCATTCAGTGTATTCATGCAGCGCATGGATTTCTCCATATGTGGCTACGATTTTATGCTTGCAGTTAGATGCAATATTACCTCGAGAGAGATACAAAAGGAGTTTAAGGGGCTTTAGCTGCGATGAACGTGCTGCTCTTCGTAAATAACGCGAAGCACGCACTAGCAAAACCTTGAGGGTACAGAAGCCGAGTTAAATGGACACGATGATTGATAGCATATATCTAAATGTACGCATGAATCTGTACCTACATGGGTACAAGCTTATGCATGCCTCTCTCCCCCACTATATATATTCTTACAAATTTGTTGGTTTGCGGCGACTTCGCTGGTAGCGGGCTTCCCGTAAGGGAACCGCGGGTCGCCGTACTAGTGTAGGGGTTTGCAGACAGCAGCGCGAATGCAGTAACTGCACAGAGTTTAGAAGGATCTGTCCTCGCAATAGACCCTAAACGTGCCGGTGTCTCGCAAGGCGTGATAAGCATGAAAGGTGCGGGGGATTCTTGTCCGCCTCTCCTCACCCCACTGCACGAGTCAGTGACGTGTGAGGTACTGCAGATGAGGTTGTACTTAGCTTTGGGTTTTCTAGTCACGTACGATGTGCTGCGAACATCCTTTCAGTTTTTGGTTTGTATGTGGAGGGAAATTTTACTACTGTTTAGTCTAGTTGATGGCCGGCCAAGGCTTTGGACTGGAGTCCAGGGCAAATTCATGGCATACACCATTGTGTTTAGACTTTCTTTCCGTTTGAACTATTGGACCTACAGTACACGCAAAAAGTACATTAGGAGGAGTCGTTGTTTTGCATGCAGAGAGGGCCTCAGGCTGCTTCCCTGCAAATTCGTGTTTAGAGGCGCTGCGCTCTCGTGAGGCGACGCCGTGGCTGTCCCTCCAGAGGTTCGCTGCTACAGCTAACAGCTGCTACAGCTAGACACTGCAATGGCAGCTAGCCGCTGCGGGTGCTGGGAACTTCCTGTTCTAACGGGGAGGGGAGTCTAAATGCATGCGAGCGATTATGTGTCGTTTGCATGCCAGGCCGCGCGGAGCGCAAAGGGAACGCTTGGAAAGGGTACCTATTTTCCGGTAATTTATCCTAATAAATTCGAATTTCACCTGAATTGCTGCAGATAAGCACCCCAGCAGGAATAGGAATGCGAATGGCACGCGCAGAGTCCAACGGGCACCGCAGAGATTTCGGCGACGAGTGTTGCACGACTGGGGCACGATTTTAGTTGAATTGATAGATCTGGAGGGGCAGAATATGTTTAATTGTTTTAACTAATTGTGGGTCCTTGTAGAAACAGAGGTATTGAAAGAGACCACCACACTGGGGTGTTCATACCGTCCAGCTTTTATGCCTTCCGCACAAATGCGGTCAACTCTGGGCCGCAGCAGAAGGCAGCCACGAGCAGCCCGATCCTGGTCTCTCTGATGAAAGAAATTGTCTGTTTTGCAAGTAGAGTTTTTTTCCATGCAGCATTTTCGCATCAACAACCCACACTTCCCGATTCGCGCTCCTCCTTACTTCCATCGTTGAGCCCCGTCGGTTCGTTTCTGCTCAGTCCGCTCTGGGCTTGTCTGCACACTTGGAGCTCGTCCTTGGGCATCAAACCTCGTCGAACTGCTTTTAGCCTTTCAATTAAACTGGAACGACACCAAGGCCCTGAATCGCCCTGCTCTCCACTTCCGTGACCACGCAGCGTCACCCGGAAACCAGCAGCCAACACCCAACCTTTAGCAACACCTTCTGCGCCTTCTTCCGTCAATTTCGCCGTAGTTTAAGGCCAACCTCCACAAGCCACTGCTACAAGGCCACTCCAATGAGACCCTACAGGCTTTCTCCCTCAGCTGAACTTGCAGGCAGCAGGAGCCCACACTGCAGACCCTAAACTTTTTGTCTCGCCTTACTTCAGCGCAGGGCTTTGTTAATTCATCTTTGTTGGGGTCGTCTGTCCTCCTCAATTCCTTCTTCTCCCTGCAGGAAAGCAGTTGGGTGGCTGGTGCTAGCTGCTTTTGCTTCGCTCCTCGCCTTTTCTCCTCCGTTTACAGTGCCGATCGTCCCCTGAGTACACCCCATTTCTGCTGTTGGCCTCCGTTAACGTGGAGCTTCGTAGGGCTACAGAGGGAAGGTTTCTGAAGAACTGCAGCCAATGCTGCTTTCTTCTCCTGCGGTTTCCGTTGCCCACGTGTTGTGGCTGTCACTCCGCTTCTCCCCTTAAGCCATACGGATTTATATACAGGACGCTTGGCTCCTACATTGCTGCTCCTTCCCACCCTGATGCGACCGAAACCGACACAGAGAAAGAGGGAGATTGCCTGAGCTGCCGTTTCCTTAACCGCTTTGGCAGGGGCGGCGGCTGTAGCGGCGCTTCTTGCATATGGCTGCCCCCCCTGCTGCTGCCCCCTCAACAAGGGGTGCAGCAGGGGGAGTACGGGGTGTTGCAGGAGCAGCAGGAACAGCAGCAGCAGGAGTTGGGGGGAACGCAGTTGGCGCTACGGCTCCCGCGGCGGCGGCGGCGGCAGCAGCAGCAGCGTTGGGAGCAGTAGCTGCAGTTGCTGGCGGCGTGCCTTCACTGTCTCGTGTAGCGTTGAGCCAATCTGCACCACCTGCCTGCATTAATGGGGTTTATCGCGTTGGACGGAAGATCGGCAGCGGTTCCTTTGGGTGCCTATACGAAGGGGTGGACCAGAGAGGCAGAGAAGTGGCAATTAAGTTGGAGCCTGCAAACACCAAACACCCCCAGCTGCTTTATGAGGCAAGAATCATCAAGTTCCTGCAAGGAGGAGGTGAGATGCAGCACCTGCCCCCGCAGCTCCTGTTGCTGTTGCACCTGGGGCTGGTGCTGCTGCTGCCGCTGGCCGTCCCGCCCGCCTTACGCAGCACCAGATTGCGTGGGAGTGGTAGTGTGTTGGAGCTGCTGTTGCGTATGCCTCTGCTGCTGGTGGTCGTATCTATGTTATCTCTGCTGGTACTGCTTATTTGTGCGGTTCTCGCTCGCGATTGGGATATGGGCGAGGCAGCTTCATCAATGTGGCATCAAGGGAGTTGCATACGGATGCAGCATATGGGCATTCACCCAGGTGGAGTGCATGGGCGATTGTGTGGCTGCTGTGTTGTGTCAGTTGGCATTCCCGTTTGTTTTTGGTACGGGCTGGAGGGGGAGTGGCACGCGATGGTCATGGAGCGGCTTGGGCACTCCCTGGAGTATTTGTTCAACGCCTCGCAGCGCGTCTTCAGTTTACCCACAGTCCTGCAGCTCGGCATCCAAATGGTGCGCCTTCCTTCCTTCTCCCCCCCCACCCCAGCCTCTCCCACAGGCCACTGGCAAGGCCACCTGGGGTCCAGTGGTCTGTTCGGCAACTGGTGCATTTGTTCTGTTGTTCACAACAGTATGCTGAAGTTGGATCCCATTTTCAGCCTTAAAGGTCTCTTCAGGGAATCAGTGGATTGTCTTTGAGTGAAATGTTCTGCTATGCTGCTGCTGCTGCTGTTCTGCTGCTGTTCTGCTGCTGTATGTATAACTGTATCCTGCTGCATCTATCTAGATGAGCATCGGTTAGCTGAGTCTACATCCTAGAACCGAAGTGCAGCTCATTCTGTTTCCCCTCCTGTATAGTCCTGATGATTAGATACACCGGCCAGGATGGTGTAGTAATTGTGACATGTGGAGCGCCAGGAGCACCGTGCTAGTATGCATGCATTTATTTATGCACTCAGGAGTCTATCTGCGTTTTGCTGCAGCTGGATCGCCTGGCGTACATACATCAGAGAAACTGCATCCACCGCGACGTGAAACCCGACAACTTTCTGGTTGGCCGGCACGCGGACGGCCTTCGGGTGTATTTGATTGACTTTGGCCTTGCGAAGAAATACAGAGATAGCCACGGCAAGCATATTCCGTATAAGGAGGGGAAAAACCTCACGGGAACGGCTCGCTACGCCTCCCTCGCCACACATTTGGGTCCGCCCACCACTGCATAGAAAAACAAGTCGCCGCCATTCAATCAACGCAAACCTGCACGCATACGCCTGCATGCATGCATAATTACATGGGTGCATGCCAACGAGCATGCTTGCACACATCTACTTATTACTTGCACTTATGTAATGTATGTATGTATGTATGTAAAGATGTATGTATGTATGTATGTATGTATGGAATGTATGGAATGTATGGAATGTATGGAATGTAATGTATGGAATGTAATGTATGTATGTAATGTGTGTAATGCATGCAATGTATGTATTTATGTATGTAGGTAGGTATGTATGTATTTGTGTGTGTGCGCGTGTGTGGCTTGTGTGCAGGGGTGGAGCAGGCACGGCGGGACGACCTGGAGGGTTTAGGTTACGTGTTGTTGTATTTTATGCGGGGGTCTTTGCCTTGGCAGGGACTCAAGGCGACGAGTAAAAGGGACAAATATTCAAAGATTACGCATACGAAAATGAGCGTAGACCTCCACGCCTTGTGCGGAGGGCTCCCCGAATGCTTCACCGTCTACATGACTTATTGCCGAGCGCTGCACTTTGCAGATGCTCCCGACCACAAGTGAGCCTTAACGCGACTCCTGTTTTATTCCTTTGCCTGGATCGCTGGGTTGCTGCTGCCGCTGCTCCCGGAGCAGATGGCGGATGCCTGTGTCGTGCTCTGCACAGTGCGTTGGATTGGAATCTGCAGGGGTGGTTGCTTTTGGCTTTACATTCTGCGCGTGCAGCTATTTGAGGGGCCTCTTCTTAGACGCCCTGCAGCAACAACCTAAGCTGCTGTTGGCGCCCTTCGACTGGATTCCAATTGTTGGTTGCTGCTCCTGCGCTGCATGCCAGCGACAAGGGCCGATGCCCAGTGTTCAGCAGCAGGAAGAGCAGCTGAGGCAGGTAGGGCTCTGTCTAGGCAAAGCTGGGGGTGCGGCCACCCAAAGAACAGCAGCCTGGCGCTCGTCACCTGCTCAGAGGCAGCAGCAGCTCCAGCAGCTGCAGCAACAGGAGCCAGAGGAGTGGAGGCCCTGGAGGCCCCAAAGAGGGCGGGCCGCCCGGTGCACGTAGATGAAGAACAAGACTTAAGGCAGTGCAGCGATCAGTGTGCTTCAGTTGTTTCTTTGTTGTTTGCGTTTTGCCTCTCGCGCGGACCCTGCGCCTTCATTGCTGCTTCTTCGTTTCATTTGCACGCCATTGGGTTGGCGTTCTTCGCCTTTGCAGCTCGCTGCCTTGCTGTTTTTTTTTTACACTCGCGGAATGTGAGCGGCTCCGCCTAAACAAACTTCTAACTGAATGAAGTTTCGTCGCCAGCGTGCATAGCTGTAGTTGTCTCCGTCGCGCATCTCTCTTGCTCTTTGCGAGTATGTTTCTTTCTGCCTTTCCTTGCTGTGCTGCCCGCTGTTGTCGTCTGGAGTACTTCCTTGATGGTAAGTCAACTCCGCAGCACTGGCGCCTATCAAAAGCACTGACAGGCCAAGCAGGGATGGCTAAGTTCCTTATTCTACTTGCAAATGAAAGGGAGGCGAGCAGCAGGCACTGCCCTCAGCGACGCTACATACACGCAAATGTAAGCACCACCATAAGGCGCTCGGCAGCCGCCACTGTTAATATATGGGTTTTCAATGGTGCTAGCGACTGCTACTTCGCTCACAGACGTCACCTTCATTCACGCGGCCTCATACTGAGAGAAAGTTTCAGGCTCCTATATTCAGAACAACGGTTTCTCTATATTGCTGACTATCGACGTCTTCAATCTGCCGTGAACTCACTTGTTCGTTCTAGCTGTTGGCTTTGCTCCTTTCTCTCCGCGCCTGCACAGCGCGTGGCCAGCGGCCACTGGAGCCAAAGCCCCACTTCTCCGATACTATCTGCTGTCTTCGTTGGTTCCTCCTGGGTGGAAGCACTGAAGATGCTGCGCCAATTCGCTGGTTTGTTCTGCATGCATGAAGCGGAACTCGTGGCCGTTTCTGCCCGTATCGCACTTGCTGCGATGATCGAATGAGAGGGGCAACTGTACCTTGCGCATCCACCCCCTCGACGTTCCCTACCGGAAACGAAATTGAGACCGACGCACCCACAAGAGTGACTAGTGGCGCGTTCTGCCTAGGAAGCGTTGCATACTGAAGTGGATACCGAGTATAATATATGTAGAGGAACTCTTCATGCTGCATCTACGCACTAGCAGAAGCTACGTGCAACTTCATAAAATTACATCTCTACTTCTTCCACTAGGGCCGGTGCTGTTAAATCCGTGATAAACCGCTTCACGCTTTTGCAGGAAAAACGACAAAAAATCGGCCCAAAGCGACACAACGAAAAGCTGAGGGTCTTTCCAGCGCCTCCACGTTAAAATGCAGGAGACAGTATCGCGACGACTGCTGCCAGAGAAAGCAGCGACCGCCTAAACAGTGGAATCGGCCGGAAACACTAAGCTTCTAAATGTCGGTTTTCCCACTGCTGTCAATCTGCCAAGTGGTAGTATCTCACTGCCAACTTTGGGGCAAAGTCAAGGTATAGCGAGATGCCCTTAGGAAATGCTGCGCGGCTTGTTTTGCGCTGACTAAGAAATGAGGCCGGAATTCTGAAACTTGAATCCTTAGTCATCTGGCAAATTGCCTTCGTCAAAGTCGTGTTTTCTACGCGGCATGAAGGTCTGCTGCAGCTGCAGTTGTCGAGACGCTTCCACCGGATTTATATTTGGTTTTACCTCAATACCTCTGAAGATGCTCTCGTGCCCTCGCCCAGTCATGAAGCCTGGCATGGCTTTCTTCACAGCCTGGTGCGCCAAACGCAGCAGCAAACCCGAACAAAGAAGGCATGAACTATGCTGCTTGACGTCTGCGAAAAGGCCAGCAAAAACCCTTCCGCTGAAGCTTTGATGTTTAAAGAGCCCACCTTTTTGTTGAATTGCTGCCACGACTTCGCGCTGTCCGTCAGCTGCTGCTCTGCCTGTTCCGTCTTCTGCTGCTGCTTGATTGCCTTGACTCTGCGCTTTTTGCTATTTTTCTGTGCCTGCGTGTCTAAAACAGAAAAAGCCAATGTGCAGTGCGCCTTGTCCAATGAAAAGTCCTAGGGAATGAACGGGCAGACACGTCAGGAAAAAACAAAACTTAAGGCTTCGCGGCTTTCAGTAGCATGCATGCCTGGAACGTGCAACCACACACACCTGTTGGTTTCGCGGCCAGATACTGTGGAATTCTGTAACCTCCTGGAGTGATTATATCATTTGCCCTCTTTTTTGGTACGGCTTTCCGCGGCGCTCTCACTCTGTCTCCTGGCAGATCTTCTTCGTTTTTATACTCCGTAAAGCGCACACGGAATCCAAACGGGGTCGTCGCGATGATGGAGCAGTCGTACCAGCGGCTGAGCGCAACACGGCTTGAACTGCATTCGAATTTGGCAGGCAACTCTATCAGCAGCTCGCACAGTCAATAGTAGGCTCAGCATTGAATTTTAATACTCTCTGTGAACCATGAAAGTGTAGTCAAACTGCAGGATCACGGAAAAACCACGCCTTAGCATATTTTCAGACATTTTCAGAATATGTCGCCTGCACCGGTATGTTTTTTGGTGCACTCCAGCTAAGAACAAACGCTAGATATGCGGCAATCGGCCATAAATCAATCTGTTTAGAAAAGGAATGTAGAGAAGGCTTCAGCCACGACCCTTCGGTCTCCGCTGTTGAACTGCCTTTCCTCCCCAGCCTTAATCCCTCAAACTCTGCGCCGCTGCATGCGCCAAGAAGAGGATGAAGTGAGAGTCCGAAGCATGAACAATGCTAGAAATGAACAGACTAAATAAGCACATAGTGCTACTGCAACCCTCGGCCGTCGAAATGCGTACCCGTCTCCCGAATAAATCGCCTGGGCGGCCGTGCCAACTGGGAAGTCCGTTGCGGACACCTGAGGCAGGAGCACCACTTGTTGTAAAGGGTATTCCTCTCTGTTCCCCCATCCGATAAAGTCAACCACCACCCGCTCTCCTTCCTGCAACGCAGCCGAAGAAAGACAGCAGCAAGGCCTGTAGCGATACTCCCGTGTGGCCACTAGCGAAACTCGACCAGAGCTGCCCATACCTCATGATCACAAGCAGCTCTGTGTGGAAATTGGACAACCTTAATGGCATCAAAAGCCTATTTGCAGAGGCTAATCCGATCGTGGGGAAACGAGAACGAATAGTGCTGGATGCATGTACAAGCAATGCGCTGGCATGTGCAGACGCACCTTGGGGTCCCGCTTTACCTCAACTATTGAGGCGTAGTACCTCTTTCCCTCATATTCAGCAGAGCACGTCCTTCCTACTAAAGGCCCCCTTGTTGGCTGCTGTTCTTGGGCGGATGCCGCTGGCGCTGGGGTGGGTGCGGTGTCGGTTCGAGCAACAGCCTGCTGCTGCTCCCGGGGCGCTGGAGAAGGTTGTTTATCTGTGGCTGACGACTCTTGAGGAGCTTCTGCTACTGCTACTGCTGCTGCAGCTGCGGCTGCTGCTGCTTCTGCAGAAGAGTCCGCCAGCTGCTGCTCCTGCTGCTGTTTGTACTCCACCAGGTGTCTCGTCAGTTGGATAACTTCCTTCAGATCCGCCTGGAGTCTTTTCAAGTCTTCGGTTTCTTCTTGTTTCAGCGCATCTTCCACCTGCTGCAGCTGTTCCTCATACAGCTTTTGCTTCGCCTACAGAGAAAAACCACAAATCTACAGCACAGCACGGACGGTTCCCGAAAAAGGCACACCGCGGTGTTTCGCGATGTCTTCCTGTAAATCCAACTTTAGTAAAGGTAGATAGGCAGCCAATCTTGCAAACTCCGCCAATATACACCACAGAAAACCTCATTGAACCCCGGACTCTTGTTGAACCCGGCCAAAAGCCCTGGGTAGAGTCAACAACTGGCGGAGCAGCAGTTTGCCCCCTAGGGAAAGGGAAGTGGGCAAGAGGGATCAATGCGTCAGCTGGGCAGCGTGCAGTGCCACGATTGTGGAGTTACCTTAAGTTCTTCAAGGGACTCCTCGAACTCGGCCATCTTCCCGCACGGTTGTCTTCGTCGTCGTGTGGAGCAACTGGGTGAGATGAGCGGCAGTGAACACCTAAAGACGCCCAGCAAGACGTTTGCTGCAGCCGCTCTCACAGATGAAGTCTTTCGAAATGAAACATGTAGTTAGTTCCTGCTATCGACTAAAATGAGTCCGTACATACAAACGACCAGATCTGGACTTCAGAACAGGTCCGATCTGAAGTCCAGTGCAGGGTAGTGCAGAGTGGGTCGCTCCTAAAGAGCACTCTGCATCGACCTCCTGGCCGCACTGCTTTATCGAAGGCCTGCCGCGTGTCCAAAAGGGTGAAATGTCGCAAAAGTGGGAAATCGCGCTCTGGAGAAAGTGCTGGGCCGCGGAGCTTCCAAGGCCATGAAATGAACCCCCCCCCACCTCAAAAAACAAAGAACAAAGATGATGCCCCCATACAAATAAAAACCCAAAATTCACCTCCACCGAATAGCCACGCACCGGAAATCCCCAGCAGCACAGCTTGCATGCATTGCATGTATCTGATGAAGACGCGAGCACGGCGGGCCCCGGGCCTGCAGTGCTCAACTGAGTTTACGTCCATATCGACCTCTGTATCCAAGTTGACTAAAAATATAATTTGAAAAAATGCGTGTTGTGCTTCATAAGACACGAGTAAGGCAATGCCTTCTTATGCCGCGCCATGCAGTCTGCCCCTGCAGCCGCGCGTACGTGAGCCCGTAGCATTACATGCGAAGAAATAAATAATGTGCCAGGCCTGAGAAGTGTGCGCCTTTGTTCTAGTCACCGTGGAGAGCATCGATTAGTTACCAAGTGGATGAAGCTTCTTGTTCCACACTATGTCGACAAAAGTGCGCACACGAAGCTACCCATGCATTTTCGCGGGACAGATGAACTGAAAGTGTAATTAGATTCCTCTGGCTTAGCCAAAGGCCCTCCCCAGATGCAGAGTCAAAGGAATTAAGATGGGGATTGCTACAAACAGTGGACCTTCTCTTCAGTCTGCAGGTGTAGCGAGGGTCCTCTATCATAGCTTCGGCACAGCAGCAACCCACACAATAAGTTATCAAAGTTCTAAAAATGTAGCGAAGCTCGCCTAGCCTCGCGCTGCGTCCGGAGCACAGTGGCCTAAGGGTGTAGAGCTGATGCGGCAGGCCGGCGGCCAGTGATTAGTTACAGCGCACCTTGCTGGAAGTAGTGCTGGGGCAACCCCCCATGCACGCACAGCTACGTCCATCTTTGCTGCTAGTGGTAGCATTGTAGGCACTTGGAAAGCGCTTATTTGGTCCTCGATAGCTAGCCTGCACGTACCAGCTTCAGAGAGATCATGCTACGTCTGCCCTCTCCCCCATCGCATTCTCTTCGCAAAACAGCAGCAACGTGATTGCGCGGAGGAGACTAGGAAGGAAACAGAAATACTTGATACACGCATTACAAGTTGCGGTCGCCACAGTTAAGCAGGGACGCAAAGGTAAAATGAGAAGGCAAAAAATTGGCAAACCCCATCTGCAGTTTTATTGCTGCCTTTGTTCACCCGCAGTTCGTTGCTGCAAGCCCGCCGAGTAATATCGCTGCTGTTGGTTCTGTGCCCCTAGACTGGCGTGGATGCCGCTTCTTGAAAGGGATGTTCCAACCCAGAACAAAATATGCATGGAGTTACGGGTAGCACGCAGCGCCAGTGAGCACGTGGGCAGGGGTCAGATCTGCCACAAAAGGTGGGCCCACACACAAAATACGAAAAGAGGAGAAGTGTCATCGGCGGCGCATCTGAGCTAGCCAAAGGAAGAGGCAGGGGAACATATCAGAAGGGGGAAAATCAGTGCAGGGGGAGGGCATGAAACCAGAAAGGTATGGGCGTAGCTTTAAACGTGACCGAACAAAGACCATCGAACGGTTGAAAGCTCTTCATTTTTACGCTGCACTGCTCAAGCTCACGCTTGTGATTGCCGTCGCTAAACTGCGGAGGGCACCTAGGTGTTCCTGGAAAGTTGTCTCGCTCAAGTGATACTCGGAGAACCCACTCGGGCCAAGGGATTCCTGGCCATTTTAACTGTGGCGGCCGCAACTTGTAATGCGTGTACCAAGTATTTCTTTTTCTATCCTAGTCTCCTCCGCTCCATAACGTTGCTGCTGTTTTGCGAAGAGAATGCCAAGAAATTTCTGTGACCCGCTTGAACTGTTTTAGAAAGTCGGCACTAATGCGGCACCTCCACGCTGCGGGTAAGTCTACGAGGTACGTCAACCCGTTGGCCCGGAAATGCGCAGCAAAGAGCCCATCCAATACATGGAAAACTTCTTCGGATGCTCGCCCTCCTGCTTGCTTCGAAGTGCGCTAGTTCACTATGGCCAATCCGCTATGGTTGAAAATGAATGTCGAACCCCGTTTGTTCTAGTTTCATACATGACGTTCTTGTGTGTCCTTCATGTATTCTGGTGCTGTTGCATGTGGTGTATGTAACTCGGTGGGTGCAGATTTACGGGGTTGGCTTCCAACACCCAGGTCTGACTTTGGGTCAGAAGAGGGTATTTCGGTGTAAACAAGAGGGGCTGGAGGGCAACAAGTCGAAGAATGCATTGTGTTTTATAAATGCATTCCGCGTAAGGACGAAAGTCAAGCCGCGTGCGCGCGTGCGAGAAATACTCCGCAGGCGTGCTGCTTGTGATTTCAGTTTGAATGTCAGCCTTCGGTTCGTTCGCTGTGGTCATCTTGTCTTGACCCATATTATTGAGCCGCCTCATGAATTCTCAGCCGAAGGCGCCAACGGCTTTAGGGTTTCTCCCTTTATTGATGCTCTTCGGAGAGAAGTAGCCTTCAAAATTAATAAAGGAATAGTTGGACCATCTTCTCTGCCATAACCGCAGTGGGACAAGGCATGAATTGAGCACACCTGCTTGATCTATCCGCAGTTGAATAAATGCTATCACAGCCCCTGACTGGTGGAAAGCCCACTATGAACTCCATTATAATATATCCGCTTTGATCCGTTCAAGATTCAAAATAACAATGCAAGGATGCGGATTCGATACTGTGCCGCTGCTTTACGTGCCGGCATCCCGCGCAGTTGAGGAGATATTTCTCCACTGAAGGGCGCACCCTAGGCTACCAAAAGAGTCTAGCCGCTTGCTTCACTATTGTGTTGAGCTCACCATGGCCTGCTAAATGATGGGCGTACATGTTGCGCAAAACGGTTTTGTTGCAAGGGGAAACTGGGAAGTACAATCGTCGGAGTCAACGGTTTGTCCACGCTTCGTCGAGTACCACAAAATATCACTGTCTGCGTTGTAGTGCTTCATCCATCGCCTGCTGTTGGGCGTAACAAGAGTCGCGGTCAAGTGAGCATATAAGGAATATGCAAGACACAATAGAGGGAGGAAACAGGAAGCATTGCAGATAAGCACAGGCATAACGCAATGCCTGACCTGTAGGACGTCGGAGGAGTATGCGCCAGCCACCACATTGGCGATATCCTTGATACACTTGACAATGAAGTCGCATTGCACGAGCCAGCATCTGTTGTTAGAAAGAAGGATTTATCGATATCCGGGTGGGCGTGAAATGGAGGCGATCTCAAGTGTAGTGCAAGCTGCCTGCACTATTACTACGATAGACCCCTAGGTTAGACAGAATAGGCGCCCACGCTATTATCGGGCTCTTAGCCTATGATTCTCGCTGAAACCACTATAAACACAGTTAACAACCCAATATATATTCGAGCTCGGTATGGTTCCCAAAGAAAACCCCTAATAATGGAACTGATCCCCGACCTCTCGCCGAGGGCGTGGGCCAGGATCACAGCAACAGCCTCGCACCCAGCCCCAAGCTGGTGCCGGCTGGCGAGCTTTCTGAACTTATTAAGCTGCTTTCTATTTAAAAATGTCCTAATCGTGAAACATTCTAAAGCTAACATACCTTTTCATGATTTTAGGCCTCTAGAGGCCATGCCAAAACCCCATTGTAGTGCCTGTGCACTACAACTTCCCCCTTTCTTGAGCAAAACCGCTACACGGTTTCGTTCCTTCCTTTTCTTCTCTAACCCTTATATTTTCTTCCTTTCCCCTTATGCATCATTATTGGATTGCTCCATAAGTCTGGGGCACTGGGCTATCAGCGTAGTCAACTATTCGGCAGTCCATCAAAGGGGAGTCCTTTCAACCCTGTATATTAGCCTCAACGGAACTCAACGGGAGTGGCTGCTCCTACATATCTTGCTTTTATTCCTCTATCCGAACCTCTACTCGGTGTCCCGACGGCCTCGGCTGGTCTCCCCGGAGTGTGTTTGCTACTGTTCTGCCGTGTGCTGCTTCGCAGGATCGTTGTGCTCTCCTGTGTGCAGCTAATCCAGGTCCGCCTTGCTCTTCAGGAGTGCCAGGCGTTTGTGCTTACTGATTCGCTCTGTTCTATTCTCTCGGCCGCGTGCTGTGTTCCTCTATCGGGATCTTGCTGCGCTGTTGTGCTGTGACGCGTGCGCTTGCTACTCGGGTTTCCACCCTTTTCACCCGTTCAACTACGTTTCTCCTTCTCTCTCCACAATTACATCATTCTAATCCTGACGCTATAGTCACAGTGTGGCTGCTAATTCTGTCTGAGTGTGTTCCAGACGTCAGCTCGCTGAAATTTCGGTTACACCACCCGTGCGTGCCGTGAATTATTTTATCTGCGGCGGCCCTACGGCGTGCCTA